TTTGATATGGATGTCCTGTATGATAAGAGTTAATTTATTTGCTTTATGTGGAATTGATGGCAGGGTAGAGGACATTTTTGTACAGAGTGGGTATTTTAATCATAGTATTAAAATAATACCATGGTAACAGGGGCTGTGTTTTGTTGTTTGTTTTTGAGGTGGTTTGGCATTTTCTGATAGGTTGGGCTTTTTTTTGTTGGCTCGTGGAGCCATTCTGACTTTTTTTGATGAAATTGGTGGGAATTTGATGTTTCTTTTGTTATTCTATTTTTAGGAGTTGGATCTTTTCAGTAGTCTTTTTGATTTTGTTTTTGGTTTTGTTTTTTTTTTTTTTTTTGGTGTAGTAGTGTTTTAGAAGAATTTGGATGATTTTTAAAAATATTTTTGTTATACTTTTCATCTAATGTTGTTGGATTATTACAGATGTTTGGAGTTTGATTTTTTTACATTTCATTTGGATGAATTTATGCTAGATGGTAGGACTGTTTTTATTTTTGGGGGAGTTGGTTGTAGGTATGTTGTATGTTTTTCAAATGAAAGTAAAATGAGGTTTGTAATCAGTTGTTAGAGGAATGGAGAAAAATGTATTGGTAATGTTAACAGTGGTTTGTTATTTTGTGGTTTTTGATTTTAGTTTGTATTGGAGTTTTAATAAGTTTGGTACAGTAGTGTTTAATGGTGGAGTTATTTAAGGTATGCTAGTTTGTACTTAATTCTTATTTGTTTTAGATTTGTGTGTAGGTTAGAGGAGGTTGTTGAAGGGTGAGTGGGTTTTGTAGATGAATTTTAGTGTTTCAGTTTCTAGAGCATTTTTTGGATGGGAGTTACTGTATTTTGAGTTGTTTGGTGTTGCTGGTGATGTATTGTTGCAGTGGTGAGGAGTATTTGTTGTTTTTTTTTAAAGAAGGTTTATTGTAGATAGTTTTAGATAGTTTTGGTGGGTTGCTTAATTGTTTTATGTTTTATGGCTTTTTAGTAGTTATTTAAAATATGTTAGAGTTTTTTGGGTTTATTGAAATACTTGATTTTGAGGAAGTTCCTATTTAGAATGTATGGTTTTTTGGCTTAAAAAAAAAAAGTTATATTTTTAGTGAGGTTTATTTTTTTTTTCCTTTCTTACTGCTAAATTTGTGGTATTTGTCTTAGGTTAGTAATAGGAATAGCTTTACTTTTATATGTTGAAATGAGGGTAGTGTGTACTGCGTACTGGTGTTCATAAAGGTTTAATATTTTTGTTGTTCTGATGTGTTAGGTTAAGGAACTTATAAAGTTTACAAGATATTTTTTATTTCGATACAGGCAGGGTTTTCTTAGTTTTAAGGATTTGTTTGGCATAGATTAAGAGGCCTTATTGAGGGGATAGGACAGGGTGTCTCTGTTAATCTACTTGGCAATTTGGCTATTGGGTAAATACAGTTAATATTTTGGTAGAATTTTTGGGTTTAGTTAATTTATTTATTTATGAATTTGTGTGCCTACAGCTGTAGTGTCTCTACTGACACTCTGAGTATCCATTCATGTCTGTGTGCATTAGGCGGTCCAGTCGTGTAACACCGAGACCCTGTCTGCAACCAGCCCACAGACCCGCTCCTTCGACCTCGTGGGAACTCGGAAAGCGGCACATGGCTCTGCGAGGAAGCCTTGATCTTTGTCATTTGATGGTGTCACCCAGGGAGCCTTCAGGAGCGGCTGGGGAGCTGCTGTAAGTTGAGGAACAACTAGTGAGGTGGAGCCAGGGTCCACTCGAGTTTTGGGAAAGCCACATCACCTCATCTCCTCTCCAGCCAGGCAGACCCTGCCAGGAGGGTGTGGGCGAAGCGTGCGACCCGAGGAGCACGGCGTTCTTAGGAGAATGGTGAGTAGCAGAATTGCTGTTTTGTGGCCGCTGTGTGGCTAAGATCATGCAGTGATGTTTGATGTTCTTGATTGTAGCTGAGCAAAGGACCACAGCCCGGTGACCATAGGACATTCCCAGCAGGCGAGGCAACCTCCGTTAACAAGTGACATGGATTCTCATCTGCAGTTGTCTGAGAAATAAGTCAAGGGCAAAGGCCCACAGAGGGGATGAAAGTGAGGTGCTGGGGTGGGCCTTTTGAATCAGCTTTGGGGGCAGGGATGTGCAAGAAGTGTCCCCTTAGACCAGCTAAATGGAAAGTGTCTGTTTTGATCTCAGTGCTGAGGTGCGCAGGGCAGAGCAGTTCTGGTGTGCGTCCTGTCACTTGTCTCTGGTGCACTCTGTGTTCTTTGGGTCTCTCGGTCCTTTCTTCTCATCAAAAGCTCTCTCTCCCTGTTCTGTCCACTCGTTTGTCACGTCCTGTCCTGTGTTACAGGTGTTTGCACATATTTGTCCCGGAGCTGCTCTGCCCTGCTGCATAGCCTGTAATAGCACAAGTCCTGGGGACTTGAAATTGGTAATGCAGGGTGTAGTTGGGCTCTAGATTGTGTTATGAGATTGCCATAACATTTTTGGTGCTGTTTAGTTGTCCTGCAGCTGTTTTACACTAGTCCTGACTTCCTTTCAGGTGCAGACAGTTCAAATCAGTGGCAGAGAGCTCCAGTCCTGGGTGAGGGTGTTGCCATGAGCAGGTCAGTCATTGTTTGCATTTGCAGGGGAAGCCTAAATGGTGACTGTGTTTCAGCACTGTTCTTTGCCTTTATTTTTAGGAGGTCCAGGCAGATAGCTGCAGTCAAGGCCCAGCGTGCCAGGAGAGCAGTGGACAGAAGCAGTTGTTCTTGCTCAGGTTTCAGTTTTTATTGCAACTGTAAGCATCCTTTCTTGTTTGTGTGCTTTAGGGAATCGACTTGGAGTACACATACCTCTGTCACCAACTGGCTGAAGGACGAGGTTTCATGCACTTGTGATCTCGGTGGAACTATTACAGGACCCTGTGATGGAGCCTTCCAATTTTGCATCTCAAGGTCCCATCCTGGTAGCCCAGAGGAATGGCCGAGGAGCTGCAGTGAGTCGGGGAGGTAGGGAGGAGGAGTGAGAGTCCACTTGTGCTTCAGCAATGCCATGTTGCCTTGTCTTCACTTAACCTAGGTGTACTCTGCAATGACAGCATCAGAATCCAAGCATGCCCGAAGTGTGCTGGCCCAGAACCCGGGCATTCTGAGGAGAATGGTGAGTAGCAGAATTATCAGGTTTTGGTCAATGTGCTGTTAAGACTGTGCACTGATGTTTGGTTTTCTTTCTCTTGGCAGACCAGGAGGTGACAGCTGAAACTTACCAGACAGGCAGACGGCCTTCTTCTGCAGCCAACAGGGATTTGCATCCCCAGATGCATGCAAGATAAGTGGAGGGTTATGACCCACAGGGGGGATGAAAGTGGGGTGCCAGGTTGGGACTTTCTAGAAGGGGTTTTTGTGTTTGTTTTAGAGATGGTGATGTGCAAGAAGCGTCTCCTTAGGCCAACTAAAGGGAAAGTGTCTGTTTTGATCTCAGTTCTGAGGTGCGCAGGGCAGAGCAGTTCTGGTGTGTGTCCTGTCACTTGTCTCTGGTGCACTCTGTGTTCTTTGGGTCTCTCAGTCCTTTCTTCTCATCAAAAGCTCTCTCTCCCATTCCTGTCCGCTCATTTGTCACGTCCTGTCCTGTGTCACGGGTGTCTGCACATGTTTGTCCCAGAGCTGCTCTGCCCTGCTGCCTAGCCTTTAATAGCACAAGTCCTGGGGACTTGAAATTGGTAATGCAGGGTGTAGTTGGGCTCTAGATTGTGTTAGGAGATTGCCATAACATGTTTGGTGGTGTTAAGTTGTCCTGCAGCCGTTTGACACTTGTCCTAACTTCCTTTCAGGTGCAGACAGTTCAATCTGTGGCAGAGAGCCCCAGTCCTGGGTGTGTCGGAACTCAAAATGTCCCTAAGTCATTTTCAGAGGTTCCAGGCCTTGGTCAGAAGCATTTTAGACCCTGGCAAGCAGCTGAAAACAGCTGTGATCTTGAGTTTGAACCATGGAATGAGTTACCAACTTTGAAGGTGGAACAAGCGGTCACAGAGGGTTAGATGGTATAGTAAAAGTAGTCACAAATTAGAGGGGAAAATGTTCTAGTATTGTACAGGGGGGTTTTACTTTGTACAGGGGGGTCAGGAGTTCTAAGATGGAGGAAAGTGGGCCTGATCCTGTTCTTCCTCCTTCTTCTTCCTTACCTCCATGTTCTTGGTGATGTTGGCACTCACAGATTGGTTTAGAGTAGAAAAGCATATTGTAACATGGATAGTAGGTATTGGGGAAAATCTGTAAACATGTAAGACGTAATATATCATATAAAAAGATAGCAGCAGCCTTGGGCAGGGGGAGAGACGACGGAGACACCTGACAGTGAGGGTGTCAGGAGAGTGTGTGTCTCTGCCTGGGCAGCTGACCAAGGCAGCCGCGGCGGGCGAAGACAATCTTTTAGATAGCTAGCAATAAACTGCCTTGAGACTGAACCACAAGAGGCTGCGGAGTTTTTCTTTGGAAGCATGGGTTGGAGGAAAGACTTTACCATCACACGAGACCCCTGAATCAATCCCGGGGTTCTCACATGGGTGCAGATGTTGGCATAAGCAGGTCAGTCATTGTTTGCATTAGGAAGCCTAAATGGTGACTGTGTTTCAGCAGTGTTCTTTGCCTTTTTTTTTAGGAGGTCCAGGCAGATAGCAGCAGTCAAGGCCCAGTGTGCCAGGTCAGCTGTGGACAGAAGCACTTGTTCTTGCTCAGGTTTCAGTTTCTGGTGCAACTGTAAGCATCCCTTCTTGTTTGTGTGCTTTAGTGAATCCCCTCGGAGTGTGCATAGGCCCTGTCACCAGCTGGCCAATGGTCTGGGTTTCCTGCACCTGTGAGCCCTCTGGCAGTGTTTCAGGGCTCTGTGATGAAGCCTTAAAGTTTTGTATTTCAAGATGGCATCCGGGTAGCCTTTGGCAATGGCCGAGGAGTTGTGGTGAGTCGCCAAGGTAGGGAGGGGGAGCCAAGGTCCACTTAGGTTTCAGCATTGCCGAGTCACTTTGTCTCTTCTTCACCCAGCCAGACCCTGCGATGACGGTGGCAGCCTCCAAGAGTGGCCAAAGTGTGCGGCCCAAGCAACCGGGCATTCTTAGGAGAATGGTGAGTAGCAGGATTGCTGGGTTTTGTCCATTGTGCAGCTAAGATCATGCAGTGATGTTTGATGTTCTTGATTGTAGCTGAGCAAAGGACCACAGCCCGGTGACCATAGGACATTCCCAAAAGGCGAGGCAGCCTCCATTCACAAGTGACATGGATTCTCATCCCCAGATGTCTGAGAGATAGGTCAAGGGCTAAGGCTCACAGAGGGGATGAAAGTGATGTGCTGGGGTGGGCCTTTTGAGTCAGCTTTGGGGGCAGGGATGTGCAAGAAGTGTCCCCTTAGGCCACCTAAATGGAAAGTGTCTGTTTTGATCTCAGTTCTGAGGTGCGCAGGGCAGAGCAGTTCTGGTGTGTGTCCTGTCACTTGTCTCTGGTGCACTCTGTGTTCTTTGGGTCTCTCGGTCCTTTCTTCTCATCAAAAGCTCTCTCTCCCTATCCTGTTCCCTCGTTTGTCATGTCCTGTCCTGTGTCACAGGTGTCTGCACATATTTGTCCTGGAGCTGCTCTGCCCTGCTGCATAGCCTGTAATAGCACAAGTCCTGGGGACTTGAAATTGGTAATGCAGGGTGTAGTTGGGCTCTAGCTTTTATTTGTTGATTGCCCTAACATTTTTGGTGCTGTTTAGTTGTCCTGCAGCTGTTTTACACTAGTCCTAACATCCTTTCAGATGCAGACAGTTCAAATCAGTGGCAGAGAGCCCCAGTCCTGGCTGAGGGTGTTGCCATGAGCAGGTCAGTCATTGTTTGCATTTTCAGGGGAAGCCTAAATGGTGACTTTGTTACAGCAGTCTTTATTCTTAGGAGGTCCAGGCAGATAGCAGCAGTCAAGGCCCAATGTCCAAGGGGAGCAGTGGACAGAAGTAGTTGTTTTTACTCAGCTTTCAGTTTCTGCTGCAATTCTAAGCATCCTTTCTCCATTTTGTGCTTTAGGGAATTGACTCGGAATACTCATACCTCCGTCACCAACTGGCCAACGGACCGGTGCCGGGAGCGTGGCTTCTCATTTTCCAGCCTTCCTTGCTGTGGTGGTTTTGAGGAACTTACTGGATGGTTTTCTTTTGTTCATAGTTGGTGTAGGAGAAGGGCCATGGTGTGCTTTTTGCTTCTTATGGTTCTTGCTTCAGGTGCTCATGACAAGGGGTTTTTTTTGGGTTGAGTCTTGTGGTTGGATTTCTTTTTGATGGGTTCTTATGTTTTTGAAGGATGTGTTTTTAAAGGTTTATAATGTTTTTAATGGGTGATAGCATGAAGTAGAGGGTAGGTTTTTAATTCGGTTGTGGAGGCTTTTATTGGCGTGAGTATGTAGTGGTTTATTTTGGTTGGTTTGAGGTAGTGTCCTGTAGTTCATTATTGAGGTTTTTTTAATATTGATAATTGCATTCTTGTTTATTATGTTGTAGGGGTTTTATTTGTTTGTCTTGTTTGATTGCTTTGTGTGTTTTATTGTCTCAGACAATTTGGGAGTTGTTATTTATGGTTACTTTTCTCTTTTGGTGACATGTTTATTTCGAAGAGGTATTTGTGCTTTGATGTTTTGAGGCATTCTGAGTTCCTTGAGTTAGGAATTATTATTTTGTTGTTGTGAATATATTTTTTTTTTTTTGTAGTTGGATGTATTTGTTGTTTTTTATTAGTTTGATTTTTGGGAACATGGGTATTTCTATGGTGGATCTTTATAGGTAGTTATTTTATTTGGGTGGTGAGTTTTTTGTTTCTTCATGGTTTTGATTTTTTTATATCTGTAATTATTTGGCGGGAGTTTAGTTAATTTTATAGAGTATTGAGTTCTCTTGATGAGTTAGTGTAGTGGTAGGGTATTGTTTGGTTTTTTTTTAGAAGCATTTGGGATCTGTTTGGTTTGGAGTATAAGAGGTTAGTTGAAGAGTTTTTTTCTTTTTAGTGTTTTTTTTGTTTTGTGTGGGTTTTTATAGGTGTTTTTTTTCATTAATGTTCCATTTTTGTTATGTGATAAGAACTGTTAGTGAAAGGAGTGTAGTGGGGGTTTTTTTGCTGGTAGTTGGTTGGCTGGTGGAGCCTTTCTGAATTTTTTGGATGGTATTCTTGGTTATTCGATGCTGTTTGTTTTGGTATTTTATTTTTAGGAATTGGATTATAACTGCAAAGTTCTAACTGTAACTCTAATGAAACAAAACAAATGCATAAATATGAAAATGGGAATATCAAACTTCAATTTTAAATATAAACGGAAAACATATAAATAAAACATGTAACATAAATAATGTTATCCTTTACTATTAGATAGTATATTGTTTGATATATAGTATTTTGTTTATATAAATACATATAAGTATAGATTATAAATATAAATAAAATCCATATAAAATATCCATATTGAGATGTATAATTAATACATGTGGATATATAAATATAAAATTACTAAATAATAGAAATCAATACAGTACATAATGCATATTTTACTGTGTATGTCCTATTTTAACACATTCTATGTCCTAAATATTATATATCAAAATACGGTACCTCAATATATTGTAATCGAATATATAACAACTTGTAAAAATCAAAAATAGAAAGATAGAAATATTTAAATAGAGTTTAAAATAAAGAGGATTTTTATTTTGTATTTGGTAGTAGGTAGGGGGTTTTTAATAAAATCTATAAATATAAATAAAATTAGAAATCTATGTATAGAAATACATCCTAAATACCTTAAGATCTATATATAAAATTCAAAGGTAAGTAAAAAAAAAAATAGCAGTATCTACGAAGTATAATATAAATAATAATTTGTCTATCTTGCTACCTTAATATATATGTGATATATATTTATAAATACATCACTATAAAGTAGAAATGCAAATGTGACTATAATGATGAAAAAAACATATAAATATTCAAGTATCGTTTAAAGAAAGGGCTTTTTTTGGTTTTTATTTGGTTAGAGGCAGGGTTTTAATGGAAGAAAAATGAACATACCTTTTCTTTTGATATCATTCTAAGTATAGAAATATATATTCAATGTATACAGAGATATATAAAAATATAAAATAGAAATGACAATAAGTATTCAGAATAGATAGAATATAAATAACACCATACATCAATCTAAATTTTAAATGTAAATTTGAATATAAATGCAAAAAATAGAGATAAATTTAAACGCAGTTTGAAAGATAAGGGGTTTTTAGAAGATTTTTACTTGGATAGAGGCAGGGGTTTATTTTAAGTAATATAAACCTTTTAGAAATAGAAATCTAACTATAGAAATATGTAAGTAATGTATTAAACAATGTATGAAAATGTAAATTGTAATAAAATATAATAGGAATAAATGTAAGAAATTATTAAAATTGCAATTATACATCAATATGCATTATAAATCTGAATGTGAATATAAATATGTAAAATATACAAATAAAATATATTGAGATGCAGTTTGAAAGAAAAGGTTTTTTAGTTTGGTTCTTATGGGGTTAGAGGCAGGGGTTTTTTGCTGGCGTTCTTTTCCGCGCGGGATGTTTTGGGGCATTTGCTGCCGAGGACGTTCCAGAGGGGCGGGCGGCAGTGCTGCCGCCTTGTGGACACAGAGCGGTACTGCAGCCTGCCGCCCGCGGCCGCCATCTTGGGAGTGGCATGTTGTGGACTCGCTTGACCTTCTCAAGAGGGCGCGAAAAAGAGGACGGGAAGGTCGAGGACCCGTGTCTGTTTTCTACACTGCCTGAATTGTCCCCAACGCCGGCGCCCCCCGACGGGATTTTCCGCGGCAGTTCCAGTGCCATGCACACGTGTAGGTGTATAAACCTGTCCAGTAGGCAGATGTTTCTGAGCCCACACCTCGCAGGTAAAAGATCAGAGGAGGACTGGCACAGAGGGATCCAAAAAAGCCCAGGAGAGGTTTGAGCTGATGTATTTGGGCAGGATTATTTGAACCCAAAGTGCTCTGCAGCTGTCCCAAGCCTGGAGTTCGCAGAAACAAAATGAGCTCCCCCTCCTGCCTCATTTTCTGCCCTCTCTGCTCAAGGGAGAACCACACCATGCAAGTGATGGCAGAGAAATGGTGAGACCTGTCCAGTGTCCCCAGGAGGGCTGGCACCAGGGCTCATTCCCTCCTCTGGCTGATGGAACTTAAACCCAGCTGTTCTGGGATTTAGGGAGCAAAACCCAGCTATGCCACTTGCTGTTCCACTCCCTGCCACCTCTGCACAGCAGGAATGTTGCTGTGTTCTGTGTCACACCCAAAGCAGCAGCCCTGGGAGTGCTGCTGGAACCCAGACACCTTCCCCTTCTCAGACACCAAGCTGACTAGTCAGCCCCACACTCTTCCAAGGTCACAAAAACCACAAACCACTAAAAAATGGGTATTTTATACCAAACAGGACCCATTTCAGAGGTCAAACATCCCACGCTTCTTCCCTGAGCATTCCCAAGGATTTTTGACACAAAAGTAGAACTTTGCACATGAAGGACCATTTACCTTGTAACAATATCCTCCATAAAACTTCCCACAGAAAAGCCAGGCACTTGTAACACCCTCGGGATTCCACAGAAAGCATCTTCTCCTGCCCCATTCCAGCCCAGCTTTCCTCCAAGATTCCAAGGTCAGCACAACTCTTATCTGTAATTTAGGGAACCCGTGGCCGCAGCAGCCCCGGGAAGAAAAAAGGCATTTGGTGGAGCCAAGGAATGGAGGAGCTGCCCTGGCCCAGCTCTGCCTCCTCTGCCAGCAGCAGGGGAGATGCAGCTCTCAACCATAAGGTCACTTCAGTTCAACCTTACAATAATCACCTGGCAGCGCTAACTATTAGCCCCAAAGTCCAGGGCATCATCTGTGTGCCATCTCAGGAAGTTCAGTCGATCTTTGTGGGACAAACCTGTTTTGGGCCCAAAAGCTGACTCCAATCCCTGCCAGCTGAACTATCCAGCTGTAGGATCAGTGTTCAAAATAACCATTGGATCCTGAAGGGCAGCGTTGGTAACGCTCTGTAAAAGCCCAGGGGAGAGCCAGGCTCCAAGGGCAGCCCTTGGTGCCTCCAGCAGCTGCTGCTGGAAACGCTGGCAGGACTCGGTACAGGCGGGACTGAACCTTGACACAGCTCTGTCCCCTGGGACCCAGGGTGCCAGGCCAGGGAGACTGATGGAAATATGACACAAGCTTGATTTAAATGGACACTGATGGGACTGAAAGCCCTGCCCGGAATGTGGGAAATGGGTTTGTAGAGAATTCTCAAAGCTTGACAGAAGGCTCACATAGTGTGCCTCTGTATGCAGAATTTGAGATAAGAAATGCTGACTTAGAAATGCTATGGAAAAGGACATTGAGAGAAATAAATCTTCCTCACACAACACACCAATTTATCAGGTTATGCCCTTTTCTGACCCAGAAATAAGGCAACTGAGAAGTGTTTTTAAAAACTTTTATTCTCTTTTCAGTCTCATGTGAAGGGTGAGACAATACAGATGTTCTAATTCATGCCATCACAATCAGAAGCCAACTATTTCCTAATCACATTATAAGCATTTCTTGGCCTTTTAGCTTTTGCTACACTATTCTGTAAATGCCTTAAAACCAATCATCTAAAACAATCCCTCATGAATCTTATTACAATGCATCATTCATAGTTCTAGTTCTCTAAAGTATCTAGTCTTATTTACAAACTCATCCTTTAACACTTGTTTCCAGTTCAATTTCTCTCTCAACAATGTCTGTCCTATTCCATGGCATTTCTAAGTCAGCTTTCATATCTCAAATTTTCCATTCAGATACATACTATGTAAATCTTCTGTCAAACTCTGACAATTTTCTACAAGTCTATTTCCCACAGCAGAACTGCTGCCTGCCCAGCACAGGAGCTGCAAGTGCTGTTGCAGGGCACAATGTCTGAAGGAACACTGGAGCTGTGACATTAAAGCCAGCAAAAACAATTACTAAGTAGAAAGAGATCCTCACCTGCTCCAAGAACTGAACCTCTGTGGCTCATCCTCACGGGGTGACCCTGCTCCAGGGAGGAATCTCCACACAGTCCCCGAGACCTGGGATCAGACGCCGCCCTACCAGCAGAAGAACAAGGGGTTACTGAAGCTTTTTGGACACATTCTGTCCTCAGAGTGGTCTGACAAAACATCCATCAATGTGGATCTTTAATAAAGGCAGCTGGTACCTATGCTTGCAACAGACTTTCGTGTGCTATTTCCTCAAAGTCTCTGTTTTAAAGCATTTGATACTAAAAGTGTTTAAACAAGACTTACCATGAGCTCTGCACCCTGCCATGCTCCAAGCCCTAAGGAAGAGCTGGATATCCTCACACTCGCCCAAGCTGGGGCAGCTCTCACATGGGGAGGGAGCTGCTGCAGCATTTAACAACACTTAAAAATCACCCCTGCCTTGAGGGCGTCCAGACCTGGGAGAAAGTCCTTCCCACCAACCTCTTGGATTCCCCTCCCTGCCACTGGCTTTGCTTCCAGCTTGGGAAGGTTTGTCCTGGGGCCATTTCAGCATCACAAAGGGCTTTTCCAACCTCAGGGGTTCCATGGGAGCTCAGTGACTGACCCAGCTGCGCACCCAGGCACGGAGGAAGCTCTAAACACAGATTATCCTGCCGTGGGCCAGAGCACTCCAGGGCATCCTTGGAACAGCTGCAGAGAGCAGGAAAAAGACACAGCTGCAGCACTGATCCTGCTCCCTGCTTTCCCAGAGGGGCAGGAACACCATTTCCTCCCGATCCTGAGAGCTCCAAGGGAAATCCCTGTTAGGGTGGCACTGAAGGTACCACTTTTCTGCCACCCTTGCCCTAGAACCACGGCCCAGCAGGTTTCTGTGGGAGCGGGGATTGTTGGTGCAGTTCAGAAGCTGCACATCCCTAAAGCATTTCCTTAGGAACATGAAGCTTCCCACGCGCATTTTGTAGTCCAGTTAGTAATTTCAGCGTATTTCAAGAGAGTTTAAATCAGAATGAGGTGACTTGGTGCCAGCACAGCATTGGCTATGGGCCATCAGGAGACTCACCAGACGACATTCTCTGCAGAGCCTCCATTCTCAGCATTCCAGCTGCAGTATTCACATTTCTCACGGACTCCTAGCTCTGTTTCCAGGGCTCCCATCAGGAAACTGGCGGCCGCTTCCAGGTGCAAATCCCCAGGGCACCCCTGATCCCAACCACTGCTCTTCTGCCTCCCGGACCCCCCTTCCTCCATCCTTTACCCCTTTTATAACCACAGCCCGCCCAGGACACAAAAGGAGGCTCCCAGGTGCATCAGGAAATCAATAGAAATAAGCTCATCCCTTTTGGGGTAATCAATTATCTTTTTCTCCATTCCCCCTTCTGTCTCCTGCTCCTGTTTCCTAAGGCAAAACACCTGGACCAGGTGGGGGTCAGGGGAAAAATATCGAAACCGAGCCAAACTTGTTTTTCCAGCGGTTTCCATCAGGACTGTTCAGGTTTCCCCCGACCCTCGGCCGTACCGCGGGAGCAGCTTCTCCGTGCGACCCCCGGGGGTGGCACAGGGACCCCACCCCGCTGCTCCCCGGGAAACAGAGCCCAGCGCAGCCCACAGAGCCGCGGCACCGCAGCTGGGAGCGCGGCGCGGGCTTTGTTCCCTGGCACACGATCCCGGGGAGCCCCAAGTGCCGGGACAAACCCGTCCCGCACACGGAGCATTTGCTGCAGGGGATGTTTCTGAGGGGATCGGCCCGCGCTGCTCCGGCCCTGCCCCGCCCGCGGCCCTGAGGCGAGCGGCGGCCCCGGCTGTGGCGGGCGGCGGTGCTGCCGCCGTGTGGGCAGAGAGCGGCACTGCAGCCCCGCCGGGGGGCGCGGGACCCGCTGGAGCTTCCCAAGATGGCGGCGTTGGAAATGACAATTTGTCCGGTTAATTAATATGAAAAAATAAAATATTGATTTTGCAATCAAATTCTATCTAGCCAGCCACAAGGGAAGAACAGCCGAGCCCGGGGTCGGCCCTGGGTGTGCAACAAGAAGTCAGCCTCAGCAGAGGTTTTCCTCTACGCCCACACACCTCCATCCTGGCACAAGCGGTTTTTATAGGGAAAATTCCGCCTGAGGCTAAGATTTCGGCAGTCAGTCTTTTCTTCTATTCAGAATCTATAGGTTAATAAGATTTTCTTTTTTGGCAATGAAGAAGAACAATTCAGTGTCAGGAGTTGGTAAATCCCTTGATGAAATTTAGGGGAACGCTGCATTTACATGTATCTGCCCGAGGATTTCTAAGATAACCATTTCGGGTCGTTCAGGCAATGATCAGCGCCTGGGGTCCCCCCGTGTCTCTCCAGCCATGGCCCATCTCCTGGCCAGCCACATCCTTTTACGCATAAATCGGGTTTCAACATACCCCGGGTTCGTCTGCGAGGGTGGGGGAGAGTCCTAATGCAAACATGTATACTCCAACAAATACTCAATATCACATATATCATATATCATATATCAATGGCGCAAATTATAGCTACTACACATAGCAGCGGCAAAAAGGGCACTTTCTAACTTTAAACTGTTAGAGTTTTGTCCGTCACAGTTAGATATCGATACTAGATCAATATCCATATTTTTTTAATAAATCAGAAGCCACTGTGCTGCAGGAAAGTTATGGCCTTTTGCATTTCTGGAATTTGGGGGATGAATCCCATGGCTGGAGTGTCACTACTGATAGCTACAGCCTGTTCAGAAGATACAGGGGAGGAAGGAAGATGGAGGGATTGCCCTCTACATCAAGAAGTGGATTCCATGTGAGGAGCTGTGCTTGAAGAGCAGCCATGAGCAAGTCAAAAGCCTGTAGGTAAGAATCAGTGACCAAGGCAGCCAAGGAGCCCTGTGGTCAGTATCTACTACAGGCTGCCTGATAAAGGGGATCCTACTGCCAAAGGCTTCTTTCTAAAGCTGCAGGAAGCATTGTGCTCATAGGCTTTTGTCCTGCTGGAGGGCTTCAGCCACTGTGCAGTGCAGATCCTTCCTTGGCAGGTGACTGAAACAGAGTTTCAGTGACCTTTTCAGTTAAGGTCTGTCACATGCAAAGAAATGTTGCTTTTGGCATCACTAGAAATTAATGCCAGCTGTAGATATGACAGAATCACAAGTCTCTTGCTCACTGAAAATTTTGAAAGAAAGCTGATGTCTTCAGCAAGATTTAGGGTCGAATGCAAAGAGCCACATCTCTTACCTGATTAATTTTGTAGCCACGATTTCATGTCTTTTGACTCTTTACTTGGATAGTCTTAAGCCACACTTTGTCATCATTTGGCCAGCTCATTAGGTTTTTTTCTTTTTAGAATTGTATTTTCTCAAGGCAGAGAAACTGCAACTATCTATCTTTGAGTAGAGGAGCACATACAAACTGTCAGGGTGAAAGATTACTCATATCAGCAAGGACAAGGCAGGTATTGAAGTAGAGGTAAAGTCTTAAATGCTAAAACTGAAGACAGAGCATCACTAAGTCAAATAAAAGATTTGTCTATTTGCTTTTAAACTGATACAAAGCAAGACAAAGCAAATTATTATAACTACTTTAAATCTAGTAAAAAATGAGCTGAGGTGTGCATTAAGACAAAGGTGGAAGTTTACAAGTTACAAATGCTTAAAACACTTCTTGCTAGGGATAGACAGCATTGCCTCAGGCAGTTTACTATTCCAACCTACTCTGCTACTGCAAGGGTGCTCTCAGTATGGGTGGACTCAGTTGCCAGCTGCACTGCAAATGCTGGGAAACAGCAGTGCTTATGCCTGGGTGAAAAAGAAAAGAGGGAAAAGAGAGAGAAAAAGAGGGAAAAGAGGGGGGGAAAGAGGGGGGGGGGAAAGACGGAGAAAAAGAGGGAGAAAAAGAGGGAGAAAAAGAGGGAGAAAAAGAGGGAGAAAAAGAGGGAGAAAAAGAGGGAGAAAAAGAGGGAGAAAAAGAGGGAGAAAAAGAGGGAAAAGAGGAGAGGGAAAAAAAGAAAAAAGAAAAAAGAGAAAAACGAAACCCACCTCTTGTAGCTCGTGGAGTAGAAAACCTCCTCGATTCACAAAGTAGCCTCACGTCCCTGGGGAGCCTGGCTGCACGGTGACTCTGCGATCCACAGGAGCAAAGCTTGTTCTGCCGCCAGTAGAGGGCAAGAATTAGCAGCAGCACTTCCACCTGAGTAGTGTGAAGAAGAGCAGGTGGAAAGGAAGGGGGGGATTTCTGTATGCCATGCTTGCCTTACCCACTGACAAATACTCATAAAGGACTATATAATCAGTTCAGCAGGCTAAAAGTACCCACTTTATGGTTTACAATTACATAAGTTACTAGCAAATCCATCAGAGTGAAGCCTTAAGAAGAAAAATCATTTGTCTTCTTCTGTGCCCAGTCATGGAGCAATACTTACTGCTCTTTTTTTTTTTTATTTATTATTGTTAATTCCCAAACATATAGTTAGCTCATGTTTGAAGACTGAGAATCTAAACTAAACTTTACAACTGATTATTTGCTTTGGTATGAGATGTGCCCTTCAGCCTCCTCACTGAATGTAGGAATTTCAGCACCAAAAGAGTAAAATTATTTCAGACTAAACACATCTGTAAGCAGTGTAGGAGAACATGTGCCGTATCTTCCAGCTGTTAAGTAACGTGCATTGGTTTAAATTGTAGCCGTAGTCAGTCCCTACAACCAAGTTAAAAGGACATGGATTTTTATCTGTTCCCATGAGCTTAAAGATTTGATGCAGTAGATGCCTAGTGGTGACAGCAAATGACCGTCTCTTACTCCCAAAATCAATGTGTTGTGTCACTGACTTACACTTGGTGACTCTGGGAGTTGGACACATTCCACATACCTCAGTTTTTCCTCCTGAAAAGGGCATTGATGGCACTCAGCTTTCTCTCAGGACTCTCACGATGCTCGCTGGTAACTTCAGACTTCCCCAGAATGAAATCCGCCTGCGCAGGTAATGTGCAAAGAATGACTGCAGCCTTCCATCACCAAGTCCTACCGCCTCCTTTGCACATTTCAGAGAAACGGGAGCTTAAAGACAGAACAAAGTGAAACATCCTGCCACTCACTCAGCTACAGAGAAATCTTCAGGTTCAGACCCTCCAGAGCCTGAAGGGAATCATGCTCTTGGCACGAGTACCTCTTGTGATGTCACTTTTGGTGACACATCGGGACATCGTTCTTCAGCTGCTGTATTTGGGGAAAGTTTCTCAAAAGCTCCTGTCTGCCAACAGTGAAACAGGTTGGACCAGCACCATTTCCACAGCAGGCTGGGAAGGGAAAAACCTGCTTTCCAAATCCGTGTTGGGGCACGTGGCCTTACCACACGGCAGGACTTGAAACACGCAGTACAATAACACCAGAACTTGTCCCTTACACTTTCCTTCTTCATCTGCTCCTCCTTTCAGCCTCCCTTTTTCATCTCCAGCAGATATGAACCTCTCTTGTTTTTAACAGTTTAACAACCTTTGGGATAATTCAATTGATAGGATAAGAAGGATTTAAACAAATCCAGTCGGTCTTCTGTTAAGCAATCAATTGTTCCACAAGGTACAGAACACTCAATAGTTAAGAAAGCAGCCATTTAAATGATCCTTGTTTCTGCAGCTGTGCAGCATCCCGGTTTCCCAGGAGGGCTGCTTCCAGCTGCTGCTCCAGGTTTCTAACAATCAAATGGATCAATTCTGAAGACACCTGAAGTCTGTGTGTTAAGCAAGAATGATGTCTGTGGTGTGTGTCGGGTGGGGAAGGAGGTGGTGGGAAAAGAGACATTTTGTTCACCAGGGAAGTTGATGTCATTTCTGTTTTAAACACTGGACATTTATTTAGAATCTTTAGAGCCCATACATTATTGAATAATTTTAATTTATCACATTCAAATATATTAGGCAAATATATAATACAATAAATTGCATTTGTACACATAAATACAAAATTTGAGGTAGGGCCTCAAGAATAATGATTTGTGAAATTAAAAACATACAGCAACATAATATGTACTACATGAGATACATACGATGCATTCTTTGTAACAATATATCTTTTGCACATACAGCGAATGAAAAAAATGTAGTGATCAGTTAGGGTACAAATCTTTATCCATAGGCAGCAGTACCCCATAGAATGCCTGTAAATATATATATATATTTATATATGACATTACGCAAGTAATTAAGATTTAACCCATCAGCGATGGGTCCGTAATAAAGTGCCATAGGACACAGGGAGCAAATTCTCAGCTGGTGTAAATTGTCACAGCTCCAGACAAAGCTCTGACAATTTATACCAGCCAAGTATCTACCTTACAAGGTAATACCACATAATATAAAGGACAGATAACAACATGTTGTAGTCAATTTTACTAACAATGGAAGATAGCTATAAGGCAAATGGTTACCTGAAGATGTATTTTAATGCTATGGGCAAATAAAATATTGCAAGCATTAAGATCCAACCTAGTTCTCACATTATGATAAACCCCTCAGGAAAACCTTCTCTCTTTGGTGATAGGCTGAAAGCCCAATACCTCTCTCCTCCTGCCTCAAGTCACCCACCTGAATATCAAGCTCTGACCATTTCCAGGTACCTTATGTGCACACCACCTAAGTGCAAACCAAGAAACAAGTGTCTCTTACAGCAGCAGAAGCTTTCTGGGGCACCTCTGGTCAAAAAGCTCTGCTGCCTGCAGCCCACAGCCCCTGCAAGTCTGCCCTTGATTGCAAGAAGAAGTGGAGCTGCAGAACAAGAAACCAACAGGAGAACAATGACTGCTGTACATAAACATTTCTTTAACACAGGCAAAAAGAAATCATATTATCCAAATAAACGTACACAATAAAAAGACCAGAGGTATTTAAAATCAATCGGGTGTTGGAATTTGATGTTAAGAGATAGTCACACAGTGTATCAGAAGCAACGATCTTCAGCGTGGAGGCACAACTAATGTGGTCATTGGAGCAGAAATGAACCAAAAGACTACTTGGACTCAATTGAAACATCATATAAAGACAATCAAGTCTTTCTCAACTAAAGGTCATTTTGTTAAACCCTTCCTTTGGAAACAAAGTGCTGCCTTGTCTAGCTGAAACACAGGTTTTGAACATTGCATATTTAAAAACACTGGGAAGACCCCAAAGAATTTGAAGATGGCAAGCATTTGCATTAGGTATAATCTTTAATGCATAAAATAATGCATCTCAGCTCATCCAGAAATTCAATTTAATTTCAAAGAAAAAGTATGCGTCATAGTTTCACCAAATTTAAACATTTTTTACTCACAAGATAGATCTGAAAGTACATACATCACATTTTTACTAATATGGCTTTTTCCCCTCCTTTTTTTTTCTTTTAAAGATCTTTACTGTTATGCTATTAGTTACTAAATTTATTTTTAGAAAATTATCAAAGTACATGCAAACTTTCGTTAGAACATGGTAAATGAAGTGCATTCCCAAACTTCAAGGTAACTTCTCATTTAAAGAAGACACTGCTGGTTAATTTAATCTCAACTTTCAGATTTGGACAGTGAAATAATTTAGAAAAAGTCTCATGTGACCAAAATAAAACCCTGCCTTTCACATATAGTGAAAACTTCACATCTCCTGTGATTTTTCTATGCATTTCTCCCCTTTTCCAAAGTTTTTTGCAAGCCTAGCAATGGGGTCAAAGCTGAAGACAAAGATCAGCTAGCAAAGATAATCACAAACATCTGTTTACAGAGTTTCAAATTCAAGCCTAATCCTGTGCTAACAACTTAGCAGGCACAGGAACAACATCTAAATTAAAAGCAAGCAGATTAATTGCTTAAATCATGGAAAGCAATTCAGCTGCAATTTCATATGCAGTCTGGTTTGGAAATCCAAGCCAAAAGATATCCTATCCCAGCAGCATTCCTTCAAATCATCTCTGTTTCATAATTCAGGTAGGCAGCAGCTCACATCCTTACACCGAGGGAACTCTGGATTTAATGTGCAATCCCAGTTCCAAGGCATGCCCTGGGACAAGCCAGTCAGGGAAAGGATTCAGTGCTCTCACACCATTTGACTGTGTTTTCTCTTTTTCAAAGAGGACCAAACCTACAGAGAGATGTTGTTTTTAAATGACAGTAGTAGCAAAGGCAAACTGGCTTGGATTCCAAAAATCAAACCAAAATGCGAGGGAATATTGGTTAAGAGTGATTTATCCCAACAGAAACACATAATTCCCAAGACAGATGCTGACTTAGGTTCCCTTCTGCACCCAGGGAAGGTCCCTCAGCCCCACCCAGATGTGGAAACCAAATTTCCAGCTCATCCCTGTGGACCTTTATGAGGCCAAACAGAGCACAGCTTCTCGAACCTACCTCTGTCAGGAAACTAAAAGCCAGAAGTAAAAATAGCAGCACTTTTATTAAAATAGCAGGCAAATCTGAAGCTTTAAGGCAGAGAAGCTCACGGGAGGGTCCTGTCCTGCTGCTGTGTGAGACAGGGACCAACAAGAGCCCATGGAGTGGAGATGCAGGGGCCAGTGTGAAATATTGCAGAACCTGCCCTCCCTGGCCTGCATGACAGCCCCTGCTAGTGCTTCACTTGTTCTGTGTGAGGATTAAAGATCTCCAGCAGTGCCTAGAACTGGCAACACTAATTGCCCCGTCAAAGAGGAAGTTCAGCAAAATGATTACTGTATTTCATATACATATATATATACACACACACAGAGAAAAGGAGTTAACAACTTGTGGAAGTGGTACTTTAAGGTTTAGCTTTTTGTTTTCTTCAACAGGATGAAAACAACACACCTACTGATCTACGGACACACATGAACTGAGGATTTACCTGAGACCCTGTAATATGAAGACAGACAGACAAAAAAACGGGATAGAAACAGTCCCCTGAAAGGAAAGAACATTTACAGGCTACTACAGCAGTGTCTGTGGGGAGGAAAAAACTGGCTAAACTACTAAGCTCATTATTTCTACATTGATTGGTAAGATATTTATAGGGACATAAAACATCACTAGCACACACTACATGAACACTGATCACCATTAAAAAATATCATATATGTATGTATAGGATATAACAAGATAATAAAGGTTAAGTTTTGCCAATTATTGAAGATATATTTTTCTCCCTCATTCTAGTGCATTTACAATAAGTTGGGCTAATTTTCTATTTAGGTAAATAAATGTACTCTTTAAAAGCTCTATTTTTTACTCTGTCCAATAGGTAACAAAACTATTTAAGTCTAATATTCATATGATTGCATATATCTGATTTCTAAAATGTAATGATTTAGGATGCCCTACTGCTATGCAATGCTATGATGGCCCTCTACTAAATTGTCCTTTCACCCCAACCTTTGCATTTTCTATATCTAATGTTGCATCTGTGCGGATGACTGCAGAGGTTAATTTTTTGTGGATTTGGGTATTTTTGTTTAATGAAAATGTTTTAATGAAAAAAATACCCTATGCATATTTCAGAGAGAATACTGTTTTGAAGAATTTACGTGCTATATATATAATATATAGACAAGTGGGGTCCTGCTATTTCCCCATTGGTTGAAAGAGAAGAATACACCATCTAAAGGTTATAGGTTATATAAAGGTGCTTATAGGCAAATGAACGGGGAGTCACGAGTTGAACAGCACATCCAATAACTGTTTTCAGGTGGTAACTAGACTACACTTACCACTGTAGGAATACAAAGTTAGGCACAAATTATATGATGGCTTTTTGAGGAGATACTGTAAACAAAAGCAGAGAAACAAGGAAAAATATATTCAGAGTATTAGAGCGAGGTGAGTAAAACCACAGGCGCACTTGGTGTGGAGCAGGTTGTCAGATACTTTGTATAACTGAGGCATTCCTAGTTGAAATGGCAGATATCAAATTATCAAAAAAACATATGGCAGGATTTTAAACAGTGATGCCCATACAGCTCATTCTGACACCATTTCCCAACCACTTCTGGACTCAAATGCAGTTTAGCCTCTCAGTTGATCATTTTAAAAAACTTTGTTCTTATTTTTTTACTAGTGGATTATCGTTGTTTCTGTTGTCACCCCATATATTGCTTCCTGGTGAGCTGTCCCAAGGGTCTCCTCACGTTTAAATAACATAACAATCCCTCCAAGTTCGGACAAATCATAAAGGAAGTGTGCAGATATGATGGGTCAAGGTTGGCTGCCAGTGTAGAAGAAGCTACAGGAGCCTTATGCTGGATTTATATCAGGACTACAGGAGATCCCATTCTTTGCTCCCTTCCATCACACTTTTCTTGGAACACACTGGTAGCAAAATCCTAGTCCCACCAGAGCTGCCTGTTACAAAGGGTGCTTGTGGGAAGTGGGCCAAACTAAGTGGGTCATTTCATCTAAAGATTTTTTGGTTTGGTTTTGTTCATTCCTACATCACCTGACAACGCCTGGTCACGTCACCTGTCCCACACTTTTGCTGTGGCACCAGGTACAGAACACGGAACAGGCATCACCTACACCTGAAAGTGGTCTAGTTAGGCCTCCCCTGTGGCATGCAACAATAAATCCTCTTTCCTAAGCTGCCACTTTCAGGCACCGCAGGAAAGAAAAGAAGAAGCGGTGGGTATAAAAGAAAAAATGGGGGAAAAGAACCAGAAAAGGTGGACAATGTTATTGCCACCCTTTTGTAATGATTATTAGCACTGGGTGCCCAGTTCCATGTCCTTGGGGGGCAGTTTCAGTCCCAGGGAGGAGGTTCCCAGCGGGTCAATCATGTTCCTGTACCGTTCGCCGCGGTGCTTGGCCAGGAACGGGCCCCAGTCGGGCTGGGGGGAGCACACCAGCTTCAGCCGCTGCGTGGGGAGAGAAAAGAGAGTCTCAGCGCTGCCATGGGGCACAGCCACAACCAGAGCAAGCAGGACAAACTCATTCAGGGTTATTGATGACAGCCTGGCAGTGCTCTACTGCTCAGCGTTTGTTTTGCACAAAGTTCTCAAGATTAATAGGGGATCAAGTGCCGAGTTTTTAATTATACATTCTCCCCTACCACATGTGAGGGGAGCTCAGAACCACTGCCACAGACTGTGAGGCTCTCTTACTGAAGGACATGTGCACAATTACTTAGCCCAATAGTCTAAGCAGAAAGTGCATTAGAATAATTGGATTTATAGTTAACATATTTCCCTAAAGTATACAAATTACCAGAAGTGGTATATCACTATGAAAGATTTTAATTTTGAGATGACAAAATGTTGGTTTTATCTGTGGGAAAAAAGAAAGAGGAGAATGTCAACCTGGCAAACAACAGAAATTTTCTGATCTTTCCACTGAGTTCTTTTTTGAATATATAATTTGATTGGTGCATTCACAGATAAAAAGGAAAGAAAACATATTTTTGATGACTTGAGAGGGAACAATTATATGTTTATTACCTAATAAAGTGAATCAGACCTCTATATCCGTTATTTTAGTCTCTGCTTAATTACTAGTTTGCAACTTTTACCTCCCAAACCAACCGTAATAATTCTATGCAGCAGACTCAATATTGAGGAAATACCAGACTACAGCTGAAACATCTTGAGCAAAAGCCCTTTCAAAACAGATCCAACTCTTGGGTGTTTCTTTGAGTGCACACCTGGACACACAGTAAGGGAAACACCCTATTTTTGTGGCAATTTGTGTGCCAGTTTTAGACATGAGAAGTTTAGAAGCAGAACCATTTGTGTCAGTGAGAGGAGCTTATGAGGCAAGGAAGGAGTAAATCTAATTCCACATTAGGTCATTTCCAGCGGGGGCAGCTGTCTCCTGACCAGGCACTGCAGTCTGCTCCACACAGGAGCTGAGTGATCCTTTAGACAAGTGGCCTCGTTGTCTCCTGCTCGGATGCTCTCCCTAGGGTGTCCCACTAGGGTGTCCCACTGTGAAAATTCCTCTCCTACAAAATTCCTTTGCTCTATGGGTAGCAGAGAAGCAGAGCCTCTTCCCTCAGGCATGTGTAGTGTGACATATTGAGAGACCAAAAATATTATGCTATTTTAGTACGTTTTCTCTCCTTTTCATTTTTTTTTGAAGCAAGAAACAGCCCCGGTGGGATTGCAGGGAAGCTGAGCTGTAAAAGCAGCTACAGAAAGGGGAGCGAGTGTCTGGTCCTTCTCCCAAGGTGGGAGCAGCACAGGCAGCAGGCAGTGATGAGATGGCAGAACTGAGAAAGCCTCAGAGACCTAAAGTAAGAGCACTGAGCTTCTCCAGAAAACAGCAAGGAAGGGATGGAATGCTGACATTGCTCATCCTGCTGAGGAGCCAGCAGGATGGGAACAGCCAGGGAGAGGGAGGTGACAGGCAGGGACAGGACTCAGGGATGGAGAGAAGTAGGTGGCCACAGCATTTCTGAAGCAGCGGGGGAAAGCATCAGGAATCCAATTAGCAAAATAAACAAAAGAACCTTAAATTAAAAATAAACTGTCACTTGGAATTATTGTAAGCCCAGGTGCCAGAAAGGATCAGCTAATTCAAGAGGAATAAAGAGATGAAAGGTGAAAGCAAAGATTGCCAGCTGGGTTTTATAAGCAGTAGCTTGAGATGCATGAAAAGCCTTCCTGCTCTACATCTCATTCCTGGACTCCAGCGAGTGGCACAGCCCCGTGGAGCAATCCTGGATGAGCCCAGCACCCAGCTGTGCACACAGGCAGCTCCTGAGCTCTCCCAGTGCTGACTGCAGCTCCTGCCTGAGCTCTCCTGGTGCTGACTGTAGGCACGGCGCTCACCAGGGGCTGAGGCTTCCTGGGGCCACGTGCTGCTTTTGCAAAAAGCTCAATGAATCTAGAACACCTTTCTTCCAATAAACCCATGCAAAACCTCATGAAATTTATCTAGATCTCATAAAACAAACGACTCCACAACTCAGGACCATGCTTTTTGAAAATCTAGGAATAGAAGGTCTACAATTTAAATAAACTGAGCATCTCTTTGCAACACAATAACTGGTTTACCAGAAAGCAATCTGAGCAGTATTAAGCATTCAATATCACAAAAATCAATGTAAAATGAAAGATACAGCCCCCTGCGGCCATATTTTTAAACAGCAAAAAGACAGAAGGATTACCTCAATAAATTTTCCTGGGGCTAGGTGCATTTTTATCACAAACATAACTGGGATCCAGATGACTGAGCAGGCCAGCATCAGCCACCCGAGCACCATGGACCAGCCTGGGTAGTGGTAAGCTCCGTAAGTCATGGGCTCCCACTGGTAAAAACTGAAGCAGAGAATAAACTGGGAACAAGAAAGGAAAACAAATATGTTTGAGTAAGCAAAACAAGCCTGCTATGCCACAAACCCTGGGTACCCACACACAGAGTTGGTGTATATGGAATACAGATAAAAGCACACACATCTAAGGCAGGGTGCTGCCACAAGCTCTAATAAATGGGTCAGAGCCTGAATCTAATGAGTTTCAAGGAAATCTTGCAAAATCCCTCAAAAATCACTACATTTGTGCCAGAATAATTGAAATTAGAATCTTGCCCCTAGAGTAACACGCTTTATTATGTGGTCTATTGGGAGTTTTACCTAATGTGATTATGGTAAGTTCTCCGTTGCACTTACTGTATGAACAGCAATATATCTGCTTACATTTGTGCATAATTCAGTACCTTTTGGAAAATGCCTGTGCTTGCAATAACTGCACACAGAAGATTTATAGAAGTATAACTAGGTGAAGGCACATATAAAAATGATCAGCTTTAGTTCCAGAGATTAGGAGTCTAATGAAAGTCTAATATTAGGCTATCCAAATGTATCAAATATTAGCTTTACAGAGGCAATAATAGAAAATAATTAATTGCTTGGTTTTGCTCTGACTGTTTCCATTGCATAAAAATTGAATTATGACTGATCAGTGTCAATTTATTTCTCACTGTAAGTTCACTAAATATTGCATTTGGAGGGAATAACAACAGAACATGCAAGTTTAGAGAGTAAACACGGTCAGTTCAAATTTGTTTTCCTTAACAAACAACATAATTTCCTATTTCCTGGTTGTGATTACTGACAGGAGCTATGAGCACAAGTCTGATTAGTAAAGGATCTGAGCAATTTGCAGAAAAACCTTACAATTCCCTTCAGAAGTGTAAAATAGAGTCTAAGGCAGCATCTTGAAAATAACCACTGGACAAAACCAAAGAGCTAAAAAAATCCCATGTGCACATTCCTTCATCTTTAAAAAGATTCCCCAAGAGAAGATAAACACCATTGGTGTAATCCTAACACTATAAACTGGAGTAAGTCTTCAAAACTTTTTTAAAGTGATCTGCAAACTATAGGCATACATTGTCCCAATCAAATAACAGGTGGTTAAGATAGAGATAGCTGGTTTTCACACAGAGCAGTACTGCAGTGCAGTGAAGACAGCAGGTAAAGAAAATCTATGCAAGAAAGTAGACTACTTTCATTTTACCCATTGGAGAAATTATTCTTGCTGTAGAAAACTTCATTTCTTCACAACTCAGGAGTTTGTTGAGCTCACCAAAACTCACTGGTCCCCTCACATAGGTATTGGTGTCTGTGAAAACTAAACCTTCTCCAGTTTGCAGAAAAAAAATGTCCTCTGTGAATTAACAATACTGAAAATAAGTTGTTAACTTCAGCCAGTGCCTTTTTCTTCCTCCTCCAGGAAGAAAAAGATTTGCCAAGCTTACACTGTACTAAAGAACTGCACACACACGGACTGCCCAGCACATGAGCTAAAACACAACTTCTCTGGAAGGGGCAAAGGACTGCTTCTCCTCCTGCCAGCTGATCTCACACTGTTCCAAAATCTGTCTTTTCAGAAATTCCAGAAACTTTTCTTATCTCGTACCTGAACAGCTAAGAGTGCTCACCCAGAGCAGCTGTGGCTGCCCCATCCCTGGCAGTGCCCAAGGCCAGGCTGGAGAGGGTCCTGAAAAACCTGGGACAGTGGAATGTGTCCCTGCCCATGGCAGGGGCATGGAGGGAGGTGTGCTTTGAGATCTGTTTCCACCCCAACCATTTTGTGATTGATTGTGTGGCTTGTAGGAACTATTTAATTCCTGTGAAATTATCAGTATTTAAAACTCTGCACAGATATAGAATCTTGCTGCACCTGGGATTCAGGCTTGAGAACTTCCAAGTGGATGCACATGCACTCAAACAGAAGATACTGGTGAAAGAAGACTCTGGGTTTTTTTGTGCTGATTGTATCTGCACATAGGTTAAAACATAAAGGAAGCACTGTGTTAGAAACCCAGATGGCAAATGTAGATAGAGTTATGTTGCAGCATTTTTGAGAGAAAGAGGACATTAGTTATGAGATTTGAGCTACTCCAGTCTAGGCCTCAGATTTGGGCCTGGTGAGGCCTTCAAGCCTCTGACGCAGTTGGAAATTAAGAGTTTGTGGCACAGATAGAAATAGTATTAAAGTGTGATGGGGACCACTGGGCTGTCTGGGTGTGAATTAGTATAGGTTTATAGTGTAAGGTTTAGGCCACCTTAAGGAAAAGGTAAACAATGTTAGCTTGCCAATCAGAGTGCCTTTGTTTCTGTAAACTATGTAGAAGCTTATATAAACTACCATGTTATCTCGAATAAGGGGAGAACACTTGATTAACCACATTGGTTCAGATCTGCGTTTGTCTTGTCCAGTTTCCCGTTTTTCTGAGATTCCCTGGCTTTTCAGTTATTGGATTTGGTCCCCTGGACTTGAAAAAACTCTCATAGTAATGGTAAAATTGAGAACGTGACTTTCTTTTTTATGAAATGGAGACCTGAACATGAAGCAAATGCTGACTGAATCTGAAGGAAGGTGCTGGGGAGGAAATACGGATGAAAGGAAAATAGGAAAGATAGCAAGAACAGCCCAAACTCGCTCTGGTTTTGGGTTCCAGGGCTGCAGACGCTGTCTCGCAGCGCCACTTCCCGGGCCCGGGACCTGGGACGGGACAGTCCCGCTCCTCCTCTTCTTTCTTCCACCCCAGCCTTTCCAAAGCATCCCTCTCACACCAGCTTCTGTGTCAATAAAATGGTTTTTGGGTTTTTTTTCCCTAGCTCAGTCTGACAGCACACAAGAGGATCTTGCCTTCTCCCTGTGCATCCATAAATATCACACACACACAAATATATATACATTTACATACAGTAATCTATTGTATATAAATACAGTGGTGTGCCACAGCAGCATTTTGCACGGCCAGGAAAAGGCCGCCCATTTTCCAGGTGGACTCACCATGCCTCTCCACCAAAACCACCACTGCTTACACTGTTTCTGCTACAAGAATACACGTGCTGTCATCCAAGTTTTAGCTACCAACACCCAGAAACATCATAAATAATGAATAACGAACAAGAAACGACAAAACTCTTTGGAGAAGATGTTAATTTTTTTTTTTCTTCCTTACTGTTAAAATAGTTGGGGTCACAAATGCCCAGCAGACTCTCCAGAATTTACTTGGCTGGAATCCAATCATCATTTCTATATCTTCACAAAATCTTTGCAATCCTGTAAAGAGCAAATGGAAGAGCAGTTAGGTGTGAAAAAACCAGCTGCAGTCTGCAACAGAGCTCTGGTGCCCTCCTTTGTGTCTAACGATGAAAACAAACTCCAAATTTTTGTTTGAAAGCTTCCTTGGACGATCTAACTACAGAATAATAAACGGAACTAATAGGGTGGGAACCATTCCAGCAAAATATTTCCTTTCTAAGGATTAAAGCAATTGATCTTTTACACTGGGACTAGGTGTTTAGTCTGTTTTGTGTTAAAGCATTACTAACATGTACTAGGTAGCTGCAAATATTTGTCTGTTTGTTTTATTCCCCTGTGAAGATCAGCTTTATTAATATTGGTGTATCTGCTTCAGTACAGGCAATATTTCAGCTTCTCTATACCTGCTACATGACAGGATTACAGCTGTACCCCTCAGCACTGATATTTAAAATTCCTAGAGAGCATCTGCAAATATCTGTAATTATATTCGACATTGTCTGAACAAAAAGATCAGCTGATATGTTAGTTCTTCATAAGGTGAGTTAACAAAACATGCAAGATTGGAAAATGGTATTTCAGCCACTCTGCAGCTCCTCCCTGGCCATGCCATGTGACAGCAAAAGGTCAACATGTGTTGGTCAGCAGCTGCTGTTCCCTGGTGGTTATTAGTAAGTTAGTCATTAGCAATTTCATTATTAGTAATTTACCCAAAACTTTTAAAAAGACACCTAAAATTGGTTCCAGCTTTCCCAATTGTAATAAGAAGAGAGAGGTCAGAGCTTGTCTAGGAAAAAAATGTTTAAAAATTGGGCCAATTTTACTTGAATTTTGCAGAGCATTATTCTGCAGCGTTTTGTCTAACTTGCATGGTGTGGGGAAAGCTTAAATACTTAATAACTTAATAATAGAAATAACTTAATACTTAATAATAGAAAAGTCATTGAGTAAGGGAAGAAATGCTTGTAACAAAAGTAATAAATTACTTTATTTCTTCTTGTGTAACAGCCAGCTGCTGCAGCTGCTGAGTGTAAGAAGGGATAATCCCAGGCTTGATCCACCTAGTTTGGAAGCCTTTCTGTTGATATCAAGGAGAAATAAATCTATCCACCTGACTGTTGTAAGAATTAAGAAGGTAAAACAAACACTAGCATTGGTCCATCATCCAGAGCCCTCTGATGCAGAAGAAATCAGCAGGGCTGGGTGATGGAAAAGCTAAAGAACCATGGTATAAGGGACAGAGAAATAAAATACAGAAATCAAACAGGAAAATGGTACTACAAGGACTGTACTTAAGGAAAGGGAAAAAAATTAAAATCTGCAGTGGATGTAATTTCAGAAAACTGAGCCAAGGTAACTCAGAGGTCACTTTTTTCCTCCTGTAATTTCTTTCCCTATTTTTCTGTTTTACTGACTACCGCAAGTTTTCTTCTTCAGAAAGCCCCTTCTGTGTAAAATCCATGGAATTTTTATGACCCATGGAATCGTTGTGCTTCAGCTCCACTCTAATTGGGTCCTTCTCTACTCTGTAATAGAAGTTTGTATGTCTGGGCAAAATGTAACCTCCAAGGTCTTTGTGTGATGGAGCTGAAAGGAGATTATGGCTGCAATGGAAATATTTGTCCCTGTGTTTTATTTAGCTGTGCAGTGCCTACAGTGAGGGTGAGGGAGCTGCTCACACTGGGCTGTGCCGGGATCAAAGCTGGTCTAAACTAACTGCAGCAGCACAGGGTACAGGCTGATGGGTATTTCCACAGAGTTTAAATCTCATTTAAAGTGTCTACTTCAGCCACACTTGCTGCTGCAAAGAATGGATACCTAACTGGATAATTACCAGGGGGTTCTGCCTCCAAAATTCATGCTAGCTTCATGAAAACCTGCACAGATTTTTTTGAAACTCCTATTTAAAAAATAAAATAAGAAATTCCTTTTAGGAATTTTCAGTAGATATCCACAGTGTCAGGCACTCTTAAATATTAGCAATTCAGGAATCAAATGTATATAACAGGCAGAGGGATTACACATTACTTATTTCTTTCCAGTGGAAGTTCAACAGAAAAAATGCAAAGGATATTTTAGTTAACAGAATCCCAATTTCTTTTCCCACATCTTAGTAAATCTGATCTCCCTCTCAGATCAGTCAGGCCTGCTGAATAACGTTGGGAAATAAACAACACATGCTATTCCATATCTGATTTTTCTGTCTCTAAAATAGAATGATGTATTCATAAGTGCTGACATATAAAATCAGTTTTAAAAGAGACTGCAAACCTAGCCAGACAACTAATCCACTATTCTGCTACAGGTAAAATGGTCAAAATTACTAAAGTTTTCTACAAATACACAGCAGCAGTTTCCATTCACTCTGACAACAAACCTTCCCAAAAACAACCTGTCAGAAACCAGTTCTGGATGGAGCATAAACAAAGCTCCCATCATGTATTTTCAGTTTCCAGCAGTGTTTCACTCAAACACAGGGATTTCTGTCTTTAGCTTCATGCTACAAAGTGCAACAGTGGGAATTATGCTGGTGATTAAATTAATATCCCCACCTCTAAGCTGTTCTTTACTAATCATTCATCATAATCCAAACAATTGGAGAATAAACATCTAAACCAGCATGTGAAATAAAAACGTGCATTTGATTGGATTATGAAGCACTAGCTCTACTGAAAAATAAGAGATTACAGGGAAATAACCACGTGTGTCTCTTTGTAATTTAAAAATCTCAGCAAGCTCAGCAAGCAGAACATGTAACAAGAACTAAAGACAAATTTATTTCATCATAAAAGCACCTGCCACTGTTGTGCCAACCTGCTTGCCATGAAGAGTACAAGTACACAGAGAAAGGTGTCAGTGGAGTGTAAAACAGCAGTTGTCAGACCTTGAAAATATATTATGCCAATTTTAAGCACTGCCTGAAGGAATATAACCCAAGCAGCAGCTTTGGTTGCATTCACCACACACAAATCACAAATGCACACGATGTATTTCTGTGCCCAGTCCTTACAAAAGCAGCTTTAGCACAGTAAAAGTAGCTCTGGCACATCAGTCAGTCAGGTAATGATCTTAATGTAAGTCTTTCCCTTTTTTATTTACCTGAAAGGAAGCCCCTTAGTCTAGCAAAGGGTTAATGCCTTTGAAATAGATTGCAGTCAAGGTTTTACCAAAATCTGTTGATGAACAATCAGTTGTAGAGAAAGCATAAAAAGAATAACTGGTAATTTGTCAAACCTTTTCCACATCTGATTACACTGAAGTAATAACTCACCAAAAAAAAAAAACTTCTCCTCTATTCAGGCCCTTCTTATTATTATTTTTGCATTATTTTATGTTTTTCATAAATATTAATGTTTTAAGGGATACTGGAATTGCTGGGCAAAACAAACACTGGCCAGAGCAGCTTTTTCTTCCAAACCTAATAAAGGCTGGTTTGCAGTTCTTCTGCCACACAGTGTTCAGAGGAGGAACAGAGCCAGTTCTTGCTCCCTATTTACCTTCATCCTCATTTAAAATCATGCAGAGCAAAGAAATTTTACAGATTTAAGCAGGTTTTAAAATAGTAAAAATATTTTAAACACAGAATTTTTCTCTTTCATACTAATAGCAATGGCTTTAAAGGGGGAATATTTGGCACAGACCAGGTGATGCTGTCGATGCTGGTGGCCATGAAGAGTGAAAAATCTAGCACAGCGTGGTTCAGGCATGCTGTCACCAAAGTGGGGAGGAGAAGAAAGGCAAAAAAGTCCCCAGTAAACCCTTAAATTTTTTTTAAACCTCCCCACTCATCACTGCCTATGAAATGGTATTGATTTTAGAGAAGCTGGGTTTCATTTCACCTCTAAACCAAATCTAATTGAATTACTTACATTCCAGGGACATAAACAAAATGAAGAATTTTGTTGAACCAAAACATGACTGGCCGAAATCAACTTCTCTCTCTGTATTTTGAGTATTTCCATAATATTCGGTAACATTTCCTCATTAGGTCGTGTCTGGCTTAGCTGCCAATCTCTCAGGCATACTCACTGAATTGAATGTCAGTGGAGGTTAAAATACTGAATTTCCGTGAAATCAGAGAAAACAAGGAAGGGCTGATTCCCTGTCTATGACATTTATTTCTCAAGCAAGAGCACCTAATTCTGCGTGATTTGAAACCTGTACTATGTTTTAAATTCTGCATGATTTGAAAGCTGTATTATGTTTTCAGTTTGCCATGATTTGAAACCTGTACTATGTTTTAAAGCACTTATGTTACAGGGTGGACTCCACAAGTATTCAGTGAAAAGGGCCAGAACCCAAAGGCAGTGGCTACACAAGCAGCTTCAGCAGAACATCTTGGATTTTTTTGCCTAGCTGATTAAACCATATAATTCATTCCTGTCCACAGCAATAGCAGAAACAGCCTTCCATTCCAGGCATAAATTAATTATTTATGGTACGTGGGAAGATCTTCACATTTCCAGGAATCCTGAAAACCTTGGGCAAGTCTGGGAGCACATCAGCAGCTGGTAGCAGTTGTAACTACAGCAGCTTTGTGGTAATTGCACTGTTTCTTACTAACTGAGGGCCTTCTTCACAATTTAATGGACATCAACACGGATCAGCAGCGCTGGTGTGACCACTGTGGATAGTTAATCATTCCGAGTAGCTGCCTAGTCTTGAGTCTACGTTATGGACAAATAGGAAACTGGCTCAGGAAGTCTCTGTCCCTAAAACCACTGAAGCACAAAAGCACCCCTTGAAAAGTGTCAGCAAATGTTTGGTCTATTCTCACACTCTTATCTTTGAGCTGTTGGTGGAAAATGACTTGAGGCTGCATGAAAGTCTTTTGAACATATACATTTAAAGGTATCCTGAAGTCTTGTAATTCTTCTGTCCAAACTAAGAGTGTTTTGGGTCTTACATGATGGAGAAAAATGACCCCTTTCCTTCAGAATCTCATTTCATCCTTTTCTGAAATGCTGCTTTGACACTGTCTGTTCAATAACAAGGTTTTTCTTACCGTAGATATAGGAAACTCCAACAAGCTCGAAGATGGCAATAATGACAAGAGAGTAAGAGGCTGCATAAGTGTCCACAAGCTGCAACATATACATTCCACCCTAAGGAAAGAAAATAAAAGATTACTCGTGGCACTGAGGCAGGCAGAGCAGAGAGGAGCAGCAGCCAAGGCAGCATCCACACATCAGCTGGACACGGGCTCATGCTGTGCCATAGCCTCTTCCTCCTGGCTGAGTGAATACCAAATCCAACAAGGAAAAACCAGTTTAGCACCTAATTCTGCTAGCCAAGACAGCTTGGGAAGACTTTGAATTCAGTCAATTTAAGATTAAGGACTGAACTGTGATCAGACCTTCCACCTGCAGTGTCTCAAACCATATCATACTATGACAAAAGCAAAATCACCACTGGAAGCAGAACTTCCATAATAATGAGTCCAGTCCTTCTGTTTGGAAAGGATTTAATATCCTTTATGATGGAGTTAGGCAGGATAATTCAAGTGAATAAAGGACAGAATCCTTCCTGGGCTTTAGAACAGCAAAGTTGGGCTAGTAGGTGATGAGGTAAGGGGGAAGAACAGAAAGAAAAGAGGGGTGAAATGATGGATAAAATACTAAGATTTTGTCCAGCTCATCTTGAAATTATATATAATGCTGAAGGTATTAGTGAAGAAGACACTGAGGTTTATCAGTAGTAGATGGGAATTCCAGTATTAACTCCACAGTTTGCCAAGACCATCAGTATATGTCTAATCTCAGAGGAAAGGCACTCAAAACAAGTGTGCATATTTATATAACATCTAAAATTGGGGGTTTTTTTCCTTTATTCATGGAATGGGTTGGGTTGGAAGAAACCTTAAAGGTTATTTCATTCCAACCCCACTGCCATGGGCAGACACAGCTCCCACCATCCCAGGCTGCTCCAAGCCCTGTCCAGCCTGGCCTTGGACACTTCCAGAGATGGGTCAGCCACAAATTCTCTGGTCACCCTGTGCCAGGGCCTCACCTCCCTCACAGTGAAGAATTCCTTCCTAATGTCTAATCTAACCCTGCCCAGTGTGGGTTGAAAATTTAATTTATATTACTATTTTGGAGATGTTTGGCTAGAGAAAATTTTAACGGCCTGATCCTCAGAAAGATTTGAACAGCAATGTATTTTAAGAATATCTCAGAGCATCCATTAATTTATTATTATTATTAGTAGTAGTAGTAGTAGTAAATAAGGTTTTCAGACACAGCATGCGTCCCTTGTGCAGAATTCAGCTGAACATTTTGCAGCTTGTGCAGGAGGAAAGCAGCCAGCAGAGAGGGGCTGGACACAGGCAGTGGTGCCCAAAGCCAGTGTGGTTACCTGAGTGATCATAGGAAAGCCCATGATGAAGAAGGACACGCAGCAGCCCAGAGTGAACAGGGCCTTGTGCGTGCGCAAATACTTGGGGAATTCATCTGACACAGAGGTCACGATGGTCTCGATGGTGGCAAACTGAAAAAACAAACAAAAGGGCTCATTTCAGTGCACACAGAGTGGTCCAGCTGGATATTAAACATTATAACAGAGTATTTGGAGTCCTGGGTGTTAAATGCCCAGATGGCAGCACCAAAGCTCTGCCAAAATTATTCCAGCATTGATGGCCTCACTTCATTCCTTTTTCCATGAGTCGCTGCTCACGTGGCAAATGGCCATCAATTGCATGGTCCTCCAAACAGATAAATAGGAAAATCAAAAGGAAAAGAGTGGGACGCAAAAGCACTTTACCATCGTGTCTAATCCAAGAGTTAGAAGCATCAAAAAGAATATTATAGCCCAGAAGGGAGAGAGGGGCAGCCTAGTTAAGGCTTCTGGGTAAACCACAAAAGCAATCCCAGGACCTAGAAATAAGAAAAAATAAAGGTTATCAGATTCCATCTTTCCTATTTACACAAAGGCTTAAACATTAGAGAGTTTAGCCTTACCTGATAAATTTCTATTTACCCTGTAAATTTAAAAATCACTTATTTACTCCAGCTTTCCAAGCAGAATGCGTATTCAGCCAGTATACAAACACGCTGATCCAAATTTTTTAAAAATCAGCAAAAATTGCCCACTGTCCTGCTCTGTGATCAAATTCCTGCCACATCCCTGCCAACAGCAACCCATGGCAAACATCCACACCTCAGCGCTACAGCATGAATGGAAATGCGAAATACTCTTCTTCAACTTATGTCCACATTGTTAAATGAGGAGAGAATATAAAACATGCCCAGAGCTGATACCAGACAGAAGGTAATGACTACTGTGATTCTAAAGAAATCCACAAGAAAACCCAAAATAATGCAGAGCACAAGAAATTAAGGAGATGGAATCTTTTAAAGCCTAAATCAGGAATTTTCCATCTTTGTTTGTTTGGGTTTTTTGGGGGAGTTGTCTTGTTTTGGTTTCTGTATTTCTTTAATTTATATTGATCATAAAGAAAAAGTATTTTTGTAAGGGCTTGGATCTGCCTGGGAGCAAAGCTGCAGGGCTGTGGTGGCAGCAGGGGGCACCTCCTCTCCATTTATCCATTTGAGCCAAAGGGATGCCCACTCCAAGCTCTCAGAGATGTTTCCTGCCAGCTGAGACACAAATGCCACCAGCCGAGCTGTCCTCATGCCAAGAGAATGGGCTCCCCGCCCGCTCTGCCCTGGCCATTTCTGCTTTAGATCATTGTACCCCAGTTCCTCCAGCTGCTTGTGCTCAAGGGAGAGCTGCTGCTTGCTCACTTACTGAGAAAAATACACTTTCAGCAGCATAAAAATCATCTCCTTGGGTTTTTTTTTTCTTTATTCATAGAGTGGGTTGGGTTGGAAGAAACCTTAGAGATGATTTCATTCCAAAACTTGTGCAGTGCTTGGGGGTCCTTCTGAACAGAAGGCAAATACAAGAGTTAGAACACAGTAAAAAAAAAATAACTCTGTACATGACTCAGTAATTTCTGCTTCCTTTAAAATGTGCTGCAAAAAAAGGACTTTTTGCATTTAGAACCTCTGTTGTATTTACGAACACCTCTTTAATCTCTTGATTAAAGATTTCTTCTTGACTATTGGAGATAAGGGCTCTGTTTAAACTCACTGCCTGCATACAGAAGTTTAATTAAGTCTCAGAATAATGAGTTCTCATTAATCACACCTTTAGGAGAAGTTAAATTATAGAATATGAACATGTCTTCATGTCAGCCCCTCACAGCTCTCCTAGATAACACACCTGGTAGCATCCAACCACAGGGAAGGATGCAAATAGCCACAGGGAGGCAAGCTCCCATTCCTTCCATCTTCCAAGATCTGGTGGGTAGGAACTCTTTATAAAAGTGTATTAAAGCCAGGAAAACTCCAAGTACTTTATATGTCTTTAAAAGTAAAGTTACCTTGAACTTTCATTTTAAGATACAACATTTTTCAACAACACTATGTTCTTAATCAGAGAGTAGAACAAAAGAAGGTTGTGCTGTCTTTCCCTCCATGTTTTATTTGTTCATCAGATAAATGAGTTTTTCCTGAAAAGAAAATTCTAAATGAAAAAAAAAAATACTATGTTTTACAGATTAATATTTTAGGAGAAAAAAAAAAAAGAAAAAATTTTAAAATCCTTTCCATTAGCATTTTCATTCAAGGTTTTGAAAACTTAAAGGGAGATTATGCTTCATCATAATTTTGGCTTTTTTCTCCTTCACTGCAAAAAGAAATACAACTTTAGAATTAAAAAAATAATAATAATAATCAGGTAATGGCAAGGGCTGTTCTTTTCACGAGTTCTTGAGTTTGCTTTTTAACTACTGCTATGAAATGCACTCAGTCCACAATTACACTTATTTTTCTCTCTCTTCCTATTGCAAATTCATCTTCTATTACTTCACTAAATTTTGTTTGCCCCTGTCACGGAGAGCAGCAAAGCCTGACCCTCATGAAACGATTTTCCATGATCTGAGCAGGCTCTGACAAATGCCCTGACAGCTGGAACAGCTGGGAGCAGAGAGCTCCAGCGTGGGCCTGCTGCTCACTCCAAGGCCACCGAGCACTCAGCAGAAAAGGGTTTTTGACTGCCTGTGCTGGATATTTGACCTTCTCCAGCCAGATGTGCCAGCTGAGCCAGAGGTGCCCTCCACCCTGCCTGGCACTCACATCCCATCCCACCTCTGCATCTCTGGAGCTTCCCCTGCAGCTCCACCCAGGCACGGCTCCTGTGGCTCCAGCTCCTCACTAATCGTTTTGCTGAGGGCACTGTGGGTTATAGACTTTTGGGGCTGCTTTGTTCCAGAATGGAGGTGAAGCCTAAAATAAAAGTATGAATGTAAACATTACTCCTACAAACTCCTACGAGCCCCTGACAGGAGGGTGCAGTCAGGTGGGGTCAGGCTCTGCTCCCAGGGAACAGGGGCAGGACAAGAGGACAGAGTTCAAGCTGTGCCAGGGGAGGCTCAGGCTGGAAATCAGGAAGAATTTTTTACTGGAAGGTGGTTAAACATTGGGATGGGCTGCCCAGGGAGGTGGTGGAGTACTCATCTCTGGAGCTGTTCTAGCAGTGACTGGCACTTAGAGCTATGGTTTAGTTGGCATAGTGGTGCTCAGCTCTACCAATTAAGACCTTTCAAATCCCCACTAATGACCACCTCTCCTCACTAACCAAGATGTTCTGATCAGTTCTTCAGGAATGCTTTAATTCTCCGTGGAGGCACCTCCTTGCACCTCACAGTTCAGAAGCACAGCCCACCCCTCCCACCAGATTTCTCCCACCCTCCTCTCATCCAGAATTTCCACCATCAGAGTTAACTTTTACTTTGAAGAGAATTTGACAATGAGAAGGCAAATAATCCCTTAGACTCCATGAAGGGACCATCCCACCCTACCCTCCATCAGTCATTTACACAAAAGCTCAAAATGAGTCTCAACTTCCTTCCTTCTCTTACCAAACAAGTTTTAACTAAAATCTTGACTCCCAGGCTTTTTCCTGTGCAAAAATGCCTACACGTGGTTTAGTGATCCACACCAGTTTGAAATCATCATCCCCACCTCCTAATATCAATGGCATTGGAGTGATCATCTATCATGTATCTGTGGTCATTAATAACAGAGCTGGGAGTGCCACGGGGTGCCTGCCTAAGCAATGAGATGCCAGCGAGCCCTACCTTGGTCTGCCACAGCTTCAATGTTCACTTTGAGCTCGTTTGCCATGAAGCCAATCACTGAGAAGATGACAAAGCCTGCAAATATACTGGTGGCACTGTTGGTACACGTGACAATCAGTGTGTCCCTGCAGAGAAAGCACAAGAAGCCTGTTGGCACACACAGGGAAGGTTTTGTTTCTGTATTTCAGGAGCTCCTCACCAGCACACACATCCTGTGTGTGTGTGTGCATCCCTTGTGGGGTGCTGGTGAAGGCACACTTTTACACCCAGCAGAGAGCACAGTCTCCACAGCAGCACCAGGAGCAGCTCTGCAAGACTCCATCACCCATGGGCAGTGTAGGAACCATGCAGGAGGGCAAGCACCTCTGCTCTTGGCCTCTCTGAAGAGGAGGGACAGCCATGGTGACATGATTTGTAAAGTATTTTCTAACTCTTTCCCTCACGAGGACATCTGCTCTCCATACTAGCTATGGACTAACCACTGCTGTCCAGGTGAGGTGGTTTTGGTCTTGTCCTTCCTGTATTTATACACAAAATTCCAGGGTTAAATTCACAGAGCTTGCTCAATCACCTTCCTATCTATAGAGGGAGGATTCCTTGGTATGTTTTTTTCCATGGTTGTTATTATCAAAGGAATTTCAAGAGATCTATAGCTGAACACCTTACCATGCTGGATATGTCAAGCCTTGACAGCAAACCAGCCCTCATGAGCCCCACCCACAGTTATTACATTCTTGATAGGATTTTTTTTCACAATATGCATGCCCAGAGAACTTCTCCATAAACTACTAGGTCTTCAGAAAAACAAATCACTCACTTTAAATGTTTAGGGGGTTTATGTTGGCTAGAATTGTTTATTCCTACTGCTATTATTTTGTCAGGAAGAGAATTAAATACAACTTGTGAAGCTGTCAAAGAACCTCACTGAGCTGGCAAATTTCTAGAATGTCTAACAGAGCATGTCTTAACAGGAATGATTTTGTTAATTCTTTGGGTCTATAGAAAAAAAAAATGACACTGTGCTGTTTGGAATCATCATGTATTAACCTTCTTTCAAAACCTAGGTAGGTTTGAAATATTTCAGGTACCCATCATGAAGCCAATTTATGAAAGTTTACTGCGATTGCAGATTTGGGATTACGTTTAAAATTAATGTGTAACTGAAAATTACAATTGATGTATTAAAATGTAATTAATATAGAAATTGAAAGAGAAAATAGTCATGCTTCATTTCAGTATTCAAAGCTGTGTTGTAAAATTTAAAATATCGAGAGTAACTAAGCTTTTCGAATTGTTTCTACTTCAGTCTCTCATATCCCTCCCTAACACAGGTAAAGCATGTATTTGGTATTAGAACCAAATATTTTTATACTTCATTACCATGTAGTCCCTTCAAAAATTTCATTAAAATCTTCCAAACTCCACAAAAGATTGTTAAATTAGTGCAGAAAGGTAGCATGATGCTTCCTCCATTTCCCTCCCGTATATTTTGATTGTAATTATCCATTTAAAAAAAAAAAAAAAAAGGCTCAGGAATTGCATTTTCAAAAATAGGACCCAAAGGACTGCTGGGTGGGAGTTACATGCAACACTGTTAGCTTTCATATGGGAAATTTAATTATATTACTTTTGAGCACTAGTACATTTTTTTTAAATTCCTTTTTCATATTCTCATCCACATTTCTTTTTTAAGTTAAGTATTTTATATTCTATACTTAGAAGCCATAGGAGATGGCAGTGGAAATCCCAAGGAGTGTTGGCTTTGAAGTCTTGACTGGGGAAAATTTTTGACCATCCCCTTGAGGGAATCCCTGTGCATGCTGCTGGCTGTCCTGAATCAGCACCTCTGGCATTGCAAGAATTGGCAAAGGTTTGCTTCAGACTGACACTTTAAAAGCTGTAAAATAGCAGGGAAGCACTCCACCCAAGTGCTTTTGCATGAAAAATTATACAATGTGACTCTTTCCCATGTAAAAATAGCTCTCAAATAAGTCATTTTAGATTTCATGAAATAACTTTTTGCGTGTAAAACCACAGTAGGAGTAATTGGAAAAAGAAAGAGCATTTAGGAGGTGCAAGAATCACACAAATGGAAGTTGCCAGTTAAAGCCCTGCATGTTTCACAATGCAATTTTCAGCCCACCCTGCCCATGGGCTGTCCTTCAGCAGAGCTGCCAAGTGATTCTGTTTCACTCCTCACAGCTCTTGGCACATCCCAGGCTGCCCTTCAACCTCAACCTCCTCATTCTGAAAGTGGGGAGCCAGCGGGGACTTTAATAAGCCTAAATGATCATCTTGAGAGTAGTAGATTGGGGCCTGAAGAGAGGAAAAAATACACAAAACCAAAAATGGTTAAATGTAAATTAAACACACACCTCCCCCCCAAAAAAAATATAGGAAAGAAAGGAAACGGAAGGGAGGAAAAGAGAAACAATACAAGAGAGGAAAAAAGACAAAAGCACTGCAGGGAAAAAAAAAAAAAAGACAAGGGAGAAAAAGACTAGAGATGGGGTCCTGCAAACCAGATTTCTCTAAGATGAAGGATAACTTTTTTGACAAACCTGTTTAATAATACAGATGTATTTCACTCTTACACACCTGTAGCAGTTATTATGGAATTTGTTGTATGAAGAGAGGGTAATTAGACCTCCCCATGCTGCAGATAAGGAGAAGAAAATCTGAGTGGCAGCATCCTTCCAAACCTAAGTAGGAAAGAAAATAGCATCAGCTTCAGGAAAGACTGTTAGACCAATGGATGTCAATAGAATATTTAAAGGCAAAATCCTGCCACTAAATACATCAGGCTCATGTGATAAGAAACACTGTCCTTGTTGAGTCCATGTAAAAGGACAATATAAACCTTGCTGCATATGGAAGACACAAATATAAAAACTATATTGTTTGATACATATCAGTTCAAATACATTCAGAAACAAAAAATACAAGTCAAGAGGGAAAACCTGCATCAGATATTGATGTTTTCTTTGCCAGTGACCCTAAATAATTCTTTACCCATGTAAGATGAGGAACAAGTTTCCACAGATGACAAGCCCACCTCTGCACATGGAAAATGCTTGCAGCAGACCCCAAGAGAGCTGTGATTTATTCACCCCAGCAGCTCTGAGTGCAGCAGCAAACCCACCATAGCATCAATCAGCTTCTCCCACTTGGGGGTGATGAAGTACCAGATGCCATCTCCAGCTCCGGGCAGAGTTACTCCTCTTATGAGGAGGATGATGAGCACCACGTAGGGGAATGTAGCTGTGAAGTACACAACCTGCACAGGGCAGAGAAAAGGGCACTGAGAGGCTTCACTTGGGGGAGAAGAGAGGAGGGGAAACGAAAATGCCACTATTGCCAGAAGAAGGCAATTACTCAGTCTCAGAGACAGCAGTCAGGGGATAAACTACGGAAACAACAGGGTTATTTCCCTAGAAATCTGAAATTTTACAGCTCTTCCTGCTGCTGGGAACAAGAATAACATCAATAACAGTGGTAAGAGCTGGAATTCTAGACAGAGAAGAGAAGAGGGTTCCTCTCTCCATCTGGAGAGGAACAATAGGAATTTAAAGCTAAAGGAAAATCTCACTTTTGCTCATTGCCCAGAGTGAACTATCACAGTTCAGTGGAAATGAAAGGAGAAGTGCTATTCAGTAACACATTTCTGTAGTTTTCTTCTATATTTTTCTGTATTTAACTAAAAAAAAGCCTAAAGAATTTTTATTACTGTTAGTACCTCTTAAAAATTATAAATCACCATGATGATAGTTATGGTCCAAATTCAAAAAAAAGGAAAGTCTGAAATTAGCAAGACAGACCTAATCATCATGATGTCTAAATACACAACAGTGGCTGTGTTTAATGCTTTAATAATTATCTAGAACACAGCACTATTTGTGTTCAAATAAAATCCTTGGGTTATGGCCAGTTAAGCTTTACATTCAACACAAAATAATTCCAAATATTTTTCACATCAACGTCTGGTCCTAAGCAAAACAGAATCATATCATAACACAGGATGGAATTATATAATAGAATGGTTTGGGTTGGAAGGGACCTGAAAGATCATCTCATTGCAACCCCTGCTGTGGGCAGGGATGGAATGACCCTGCCTAGACCAGAATGATCCAAACCCAGCCCAGCCTGGCCTTGAACATTCCCAGGGATGGGGCAGCCACAGCTTCTCTGGGCACCCCGTGCCAGGACCTCACCACCTTTACAGAGATTTTCTTCCTAATGTCTAATCTAAACCCTGCCTATGTCAGTTTGAAGTAACTTTTCCTTGTCTTGTCACTCCATGTCCTTGTCCCAGTCCCTCTCCAGCTCTCCTGTGGCCCCTTTAGGTGGTGGAAATTCTCCTGGGACCTTTCTCTTCCCCAGCTCCCTCAGCCTGCTCCATAGCAGAGACACCTCTGAGCCCTTGAGCACCTTTGTGGTCTCCTCTGGGCTCCTTCCAGGAGATCCTCCTTGTGCTGTGGGCTCCAGAGCTGCACACAGTGTCGCCCTGATTCTTAAGATTTTCTGAGTTTACATTCTGTTAAAAAAACTTTCTCACACAATTTTCTATAAACAACATATTGCTTCTCATCCCTTCATAGGGGTGGAGAAACTTAACATACTAGTAGTTTGTCCAGTGTGTTTAGAGAGGTAACACATTCACTCTGCAATCCAGTGTCACCTTTAGGAAAGTATAAAAGTTAAAATCAAAAAATAAACCTTTTTCTTTGCCTTACAAATAGCAATAGCTCACATTGTGCTTTCACGTGTCCTGTAGCAACACCCAGGGCTCCAGGTGGCTCCTCACCAGAGCAGGGGGAGAATCCCCTCCCTCAGCCTGTGCTCTGAGCTGAAGTGGCTTTTCAAACTGCTTTTCAAACTTTTCTTCTTGTTTCCAGCAAGCTGCCCTGATGAATCTCTACATAATTACAGGATTTCTATCTCCAATACCCAGGAGTTAATGTTTTTCTCTCTGACATCAGTGTCAGTATTTCTCTTGGCCACGAAGAGTCACTTAGAGAAATATCCTTGGCCACATCCAAACCCACATTATTATCCAGTCTCTTGCCTTTCATAAAATATTTTTTCCTAACCCACTAGGGTAAGGGGGAAAAAAAAATCTCAGCTTTCCCCTGGCACTCTGAGTCCCTGGATTTTCTGTTAATTGCCAAGTGACCTCCCAGGAGATGAAGTCAGCTTCTAGAAGCAAAGGGATGGCTTCTAATTGGAACTCTGTGACCAGCTCTAGAAAATTCATGTCTCCATTTCCACCATCTTTATCCCAGGAAATACCTAGTTGTGTTGCTCACACACACACTGGGCTTTTTTGAAGCTCAGTTCTGATTTTGAAATATGTTAATTAACATCTTAGTTTACATCCTAATTTCTCAGATTCCACTGAAACGTGAGATGCTTGCAGAATTTTTATGAACACCACACAGAACAGGGAAGGCTGGAAAGTACCATTTGTGCCATCCCACTGCTGAGTGCAGCTGAAGAGTTCATTTTAAATTTATTGAAGATTAGAGGAAAAAACGCTGAACAAAAATAGTTTCTGTTTTAACTAGAAAGGAAAACACAGAGAGGAAAAAGGCATTTCAATTAATACTTAGTCATTTACTGAAAATATTTTCAATAATTCATCCCTTAAATGAGAGTGTGAGTCCCTAAAAACCAGCACCCTGCTTTCTTGTGTGTGTACAATCACAAATATCGTTCTTACTTTTCCTGATGACTTGATTCCTTTAGCAAGGGAGGCATAAACAATCACCCAAGCCAGGAAAAGAGATAATGCCAAGGGCCATCTAATCTCACCAGGATATTCAATCCCTGCTGAAATCTTCAATACAAAGTACCTAAGGAAAAAAAAAAAAAAAAAAAGAAATTAAAAAACTTTGGGGAAAAAATAATGAAAACAACCACAGGCAGTAATTCAGCATAAATTCCTTTTTTGTTTTTTCTTCAGTGTCCTCAGCAGTTTCTCTGGATGGTTCCAGTGATTCTCACCATGTATTATTTTATTTATCTGCATTGCAGTAGTAGATAAAACTGCCGGGCATGGGCCAACACTTCAGCTGTGCTAAGCACCACAGGAACAGAAAACAAGTAACCAGTGCTTGAATTCAGCTCTCATCAGTCCTAAGCACAAAAAATGAGCGTCATTTTCTGCCCTTCACTGCCATATTTCTGGTTTTCCAAGCCATGCTGTCGCCTGTTCCAGTGGATTTTACAGAAAGATCAACATCATTTTTCTAAACAAAGAAAGATCTTACTTGAAGTATTCTTCACTCCCACTGACAAATGTTTTGTTTCCTCCCCTGGTGAAGTTAACCATGGTTAGATTTGGATAGGCACTCATACAGAAAGTAGAGTTCTTGATTTGTATTTTTGGGTGGTCGCCAATAATGCAGGAATCTAGGAAGAAATGAGAAGGGGGAACAGAAAAAAAAAAGTGTACAGATTTTTCGTTGTCGTTGTAAAATGACAAGAATGCATTAGATCACACCTAATTACTTGAACTTTTGTTCGGTTGCCGACACCTTTTCCAAAAGGTCGGTTAACTGGGTTTGCTTTTTTCCGTTTTCATGTCATTGTGTATTTGGGACCGTTTGCAGAACGGTTTTTGGTTTTGTTTTTTTTTTTTTTCTTTAAAGAGAAGCTTCTCTAAAGACAAATAATTTTACTTTAGCAGACACTCCAGGCTGCCAGCTGTGGTATTTTGTTGCCTACAGAGAACTTTCCTCTGAGAAAAAAAAAAAAAAAAAAAAAATCGGTAATTTAAATTGACAAATCTAATTTATGCTTGGTAAGGAAAAATTTAAATAAAAGCAGAGGGGAGTGCTCGTGGGATACAGATCCCTTCAGAGCGGTTTGGGAAGAGATCGTGCCCAGGGCTGGGGGATCTCCCGGCCGAGGTCTCCTCGGGCATCTCCCAGGGGCGCAGCTGAGCTGCGGAAAGCTCTGCAAAACCACCGCAAAATTCAAACCAAAACCAAACCCATCACTAAAAGAAGAGTACAAGCGTGGCCCAACTTACCTAGCAAAAGTTTGTTTTTATCTTTACAGTCCGGCGTGTTCCAGGGGTTGTCGCAGGAGGCCCAGGGCAGCACGGGCACGAAGGAGGCGAACAGGTAGAAGAGCGTGTAGCACAGGATAATGTTGTAATAAATGGCTATCAGCACCGAGATGATCAGCATGGCGATGCCGCAGCCTGCGGACACACGGGGGGACAGCAGGAAAAGCCATCAATGCCGGGGGCTGCCGAGCATCCTCTGGCACAGGGACAGCGACAGGGACAGCGACGAGGCCACCCCGCTGCCGGAGGCAGGCAGGGAGGTGGCCCCGGGGGCCCGTGGCATGCGGCGGGGGGCGCAGGGGGCGGCTGAAGCCATGCGAGAGCCGGGGCGCAGGTCGTGCTCCCCAAAGGCTCACCTTGCAGGGCGGGGATGGCTTTCCAGACCGACACGGGGCCCTGACTAGCAAACTGCCCCAGGGAGACTTCCAGGAAGAAAATGGGGATCCCGGCTAGAGCCAGCATCATCAAATAGGGGATGAGGAACGCACCTTGGGGGCGGTGGGAGAGAAGAGAGAGCAAGCTGAATCACCCCGTGGCACTGGGGACAACTCAGTCAAGACATTTTTCTATTCAAATATTCCGGTTTTTATCGATTCCCCGTGCCGCCAGCCTCGACTGGGCAGGAGGAAGGGGTGTAGGGGGGGAAGATGGGTATGAGCTTTCTACATTTCCAGCTTTTTCTACAGACAGTAAATACTCATTATTGTTACATGAGTATTTAACACCTCCCACTTAGAAGTTTCTACGTGTAAAAGGTAAAGAAAAAAAAATCACAGTTTTAAAATAGTTATTTAAAATTGCCTCTTGCCTCACAGAAAGCGGTTCTTACGGGCTTTACACGACTGTTTTCGATCATCGCTGCACCGCTTCCCTCAGCTGAGAGCCCTTTCGAAGAGGGAATGGGTTTACAGCTGCAAGGGTTTAACCCCGTGAGACCCACGGGTTCTCCCTTTTCAGTAAGAGCCTCTGGTAGGAGAACCCCTGCAAATAAATTTCTTCTTGCCCCTGTAAATTATAAACGGCGTAGCCCCTCTTCCAACTTCTCCTCTCCTCTATTCAGCTGATTGAGATTCGCTCTATTTCAAACGATTACTTTTCATTGGGATAGTGGAGAGATTTAGAACAATCCCCCCCCAGACCTCACGAATTAACGGGACGTCTGGACTCGGGATCCAGCGTCCTCTTGTCGCTATCCCGACTCTGAAGTCCCTCCTCTTTCCCCATCCCACCGATTGCGGATTCGGACCCGAGTCTGTGTAACCGAGGCGAGGGGGGGTTCCGGAGCCCTGCCCCTGCCATGATCAACACGCCTCTTCATTTTCCTCCCTCTCCAGCACCAATTGCAGGTGTTTTTAAGGAAAGCGCTACCTTTTAAGGGAATCTCGACAGGGCTTTCCTGCTTTCAGAGGTGACAATAATAAAAATTAAAAAAAAAAATTAAAAAAACCCACACCGAAATAAAAAATAACGCGGAAAAAACCAAACAAGCACCCAAGCAAGTGTTTCACCAAGTGTGTCTGATGGTCTGAAGATGCCCCCGCAGCTCGGCTCAGCCCGGGCTGGCTGCTCGGCAAGAGGAAGCCGCTGACCCCGCTTCCCTCGTGTTTGTCCCCGCCAAAAAAAAGCCGGGACTGGCTCAGACCCGTACGGTACTGCAGGTAGAGAGACAGGAAAAAGCCATCATACCTCCCCCATTCTTAAAGGCCAGGTACGGGAACCTCCAGACATTGCCCAGCCCCACTGCATAACCCACCATGGAGAGGATGAAATCCAGCTTGCTAGACCAGTTCCCTCGGGCTTTATTTTCATCCCCCACATCGTCTTCCTAAAAGGGGGGGAAAAAAGGAGGGGAGGGGAAGAGAGAGAGATGGGAAACCAACCACTTTAGCGAACAAGCACGGCGGTGCTGCCGGCTGGGAGAGCCTGCCGGCCCCAGCCTCTCCTTTATTAAAAAAGTTCATGGAAGAGCGGTTTAGAGCGTGGCTCTCCTCTGAGCGCCCGGGGTGGGTCCCTGGTTCCTGGAGAGAGGTGCCAGCGCCTCCCCCGGGGGAGGGAGCCCTCGGTGCCCTCCGGAGGGTCAGGACCGACGGGCGGCTCTCAGCGCAGCCAGGAGAGGTGAAAATCGCGTTTGCCGCCCCAGCAGCAAAAGCTTCCAGGGAAAATGCGGATGGGCAGGAGGAGAGGGACCTCCTCGGCCTCGCAGCATCCCCTCCCGGGAGTCTCTTAGGGATCGGGCTGATTTATTTCGCCCTATTTTTGGTTACAGGCTCCGAGGCACGCGTTCCCCGGGGGTTTGGGCAGGCGGACGAGCCTGAGGAGGGGAAGGACGAGGCACCCTTTGGGTGTGACGCTGGGGACAGGGGCAGACCTCATGCCAAGGCATGTGAGGATGTGCGGGTCAGAGCCGCGGTGCACCCACAGGCAGGGCTCGGGAGCCGGCTGGAATCACACGGGACGCTCAGTAACACTCGCCAGCACCGCGGCACTGGATCTAAGATCCTCTCTCCCCTTCTCCCTTCGGCACAGCCCCGTCCCCCACTCATCTGCACCCCATTTTAGAGCTTCCACCCCAAATCGGCGCTGAGCGGCGAAGACCTCCCGCAAGCTGAATCGGGGAAGGAAAACCTGTAAGGGGACAACTCACCCCATCCACTCTGCCAGGGAGAACAGAGGTGTTGCCATCCGTGCCCAGCACCACGGTGCTCTGGCTCAAGGTCACCCAGGCGTTGTTTTGCTCCAGCGTGCTCTTCCCAGGGCTCAGGGGAGCATCCCCGTCCGTGCTTTGCAGGGCGGGGATTTTGCAGTGCGGGATCGCTGCCCCGGGGCTCGGCTTGCAGGGGGTGCTGTCCACAGGGAGGGTGGAATTGGCTTGCAGCGGGGTGCTGCCGAGCTTGCAGATCCCGACTTTGGTCCTCTCCAGCTCCTTGGGTTTGGCTTCTCCGCAGGGAAGGGTTTTGCTGTGCTCGGAGAGCGAGCGGGGAAGGCTGGAGGCGGCGGGGGGGTTTTGTGTCTCATTTTCGGGACCGCTTCTTCCAACTCCCGAACCTTCCTCGGGTCCGGGAGCCGCCGCTTCGGGGTTGTTCGCCAGCTGCTTGCTCATATCCCTCTGACCGGCGTAATCCTAAAATGAGAGCGTCACGTATTTTACCAAAAGGAGAAGAAGAGGGGGGAAAACAAAAAGTGTTGGCACCGCTGAGATTATACGAATTTTTGTCCCCGTGCAGGAAACGCATGCGCCAGAAAATCGGGATACGGGAGTGTTGCAGAATTTCGAGGAGCTACGGCTCGCCTGTTTGCCCTCCCATGCAACGTTAATACTCTGGGGGGAAAAAAAGAGTACGGTACACAAAACAAAACAAAAAAAACACCCAAACACCCCAACCCCCCCCCAAACCCCCCAAACAACAAACCTCAAACAAAAAACACCAGCATCTGCAAACCCGTAATTCAAGTTTAAATAAGTGTTTCTACAGCACTGCGCCGCCAGACCTCTTTAGATTTCACATCACGACTGTAGGATGCTCCCTTCCCTATCACCAGTGTAGAAAGATTCTTTAATTTTACGCCCCATTTCCTTTCTGTCATTCAACAATGCACATCGGCTTTTTTTTTTTTTTTTTTAATATATATGAGCAAGAGACAAGCTGCCCTGTAGGCAACCAGGGATGTTAAAAAACAAGTGAAATACTGCTGGTGAACATTTCTGAGCTGGCTGCTATGCTTCAAAGCCCGTCAGCAAGAGTGTGAAATGCAAAAAAAACCCCAAACATAACCGCACCGCCACAGTGGGATTAACGCCACTAACAGCAGGCTTCCCCTATTCTTTTCCTTATGTTTCCGACTCACATAATGCTAAAGATTTATTTAAGCTTCCCTATCATGAAATAGATTACTGACGACACTCCCACTCTCACCTCTACCTTTTTCTCCAGTTTAAAACTAGTATTTAAAATACATATTGTTTTTATCCATTAAGCAATGCGCAGGCGAACCCTACTTTTTCTGATGTTAGCTTTACAAACCCCTTTCTTTTTTTTTTTTTTCCCAGAGTGTCTCACGAACCTCCCCGTCACCCTTTCCGCCACAAGTTTTCTCTCCATCGTAATCCCGCTCTCCCGGCACCAGGGATAGATTCCGCAGGGACTCGGTCACTAAATGAGTGGTTTTTGGGGTACCAGCGCTTTGCCCGCACCATCCCTACCCCGTCGGCAGCACCGCGGACAGCTCCCCCAGCCCCGGCGGCATCGAAGGGAAGAAATGGAACACTCACCATGCCTTAAATATCCGCAGGTCGAGCCGCTGGAGGCGAAAGGAGCAGCACAGGCAATTGTCAGACTGGGTTTTGCCCAGTTCAGAGCAAAGCTTTCTATACTTCCTTGGGAAAGACTGGGTTTGCGTCAGTGCGTAGCAAGGTGCCCTCCGTGTGACATTTTCTTGATAATAAGAGCTTGATAAATCATTGCCCTTGGTTTGGGATTTTAAAGGGAGGCCGGAGCGCTGGCTGGCTGTCACTGCCGCGGCGGTGGCATTGCGTGTTCCCTGTGACTCATGTGGGGGCTGATCGCCAACCCTGAGCCGGGGCGCGGCACAACTTTGTGCTGGCAATTAGAGCCAACATGTGAGAAACACGTACGGCTGCATCCCAGGCCAGAGAAATGGGGACAAACCTGCCATTTCTACTCCTCTTCCTCCTCCCTCTTATTGTAGTGCGATCCAGCTCCCTTTTCAAAATCTGCAGTTCACGGATCAGATGTTATAATAGCTTTTTTACATACGTTATCAATTGATATATCCATATACATGGATATTAAAAAAATATAAAAATTACCAGTTTTGTGTCTAACCACGTACCTATATATGTAGTGAGAAGTTCACTGTGCACAAAGTACGCAAATACATTTAAATCGTGTCTCTCTTGATCTCGTTGCACGAAATTACATTGTATCATTTATCTTTACTGTGCCTCATGGGGGAAACGCCAATTAAATTTAAACGATACACACAAGGAAACAAGATTCTGTTTCATCAAAACTGTCTGAAGAGCAGTTAAGTGGGAGCAAAGATGACGGCAACAACCCTGAAGTTGCTGATGCTCTTCCCTCACCCATCAAAGCTTTTATGTATGATTATTGGGGAAGAAATTATTCGTCATTAAAAGTCAGGTGTTGACTGACAACCGTTTTTTTTTTTTTTTTTTGCAACGAAGTGTTTCACACCTAATCACCTCCTGTAGGTGCGATTTTGCTACTTGAGGGGCTTTCTCAAAGATTGGTGAGCAGAAGATAATTTTGCTCACGCTGACCAAAAAAAAAAAAAAAGGAAAAAAAAAGAAAAAAAAAAAGCGCATTGGCGAATGGGGATGCTCCCTACGCAACCTTCCCAGTTGTTTCAGCGTCAGCGGTGCTGTTGATCCGCATAGAGCCTGCTGCTGTCAGCTTTATTTCATATTTCACACCGTGGCGTAAGCAGAGGGGAGCGTGCGCCTATGCAGGGGAGGGGAGGAGGGGGCCGAGCTCGCCAGCACCACACGGCTTTCTTCTGCGTCCTTACCTTTACGGCTTACCAGCTTTTTTTTTTTTTCCCCGGCAGAGAAATAAATAAAAAATGAATTTCCAGGCGGGCAGTGCCGCAGAGCCGCTGGCTGCGCGGTGCCACCCCCGGCGGGGCCGGGGCAGCTCCGGTCCAGCCTCGCCCCGCAGCTCGGCACTGCGGCGGCGGCTGAAACCCGATTATCGCCACGATTATCGATTATTGACAGCCCCGCGGAAACCCAGGAGCTGGGGGCCAGCAAAGCAGAACGGCGAAAATCGCTTTTCTGCCTCTGCTCTCACGGGAGGTGTCCCCTGCCCATGGCAGGAGCGGAGCTGCAGCAGCTTTAGGATCCCTTCCAAGCCAAACCACTCTGATTCCATGCGCTCCCTCATATTGAGGAATGGAGGGGCGCTCAGAGAAGCTGGTTTTGGTAGGGAGGGGAGAAGCTGGTGGTTTATGGTGGTTTTTTACTTTATGTTTTGCAGCGTTTCCTTCCCGAGGCATCCCCCAGCCTCAGGGCGGTCTGGTCGTCAGCTCAGCCGTGCGTAGCCCAGTTACATTAATACCTCCAAAGGCAGAGCCGAATTAAAAACAACAGGACAGTAGCCCAAGAGATATTTTGGTCGGGAGCACACCTAAATATCTTCTAGAGTCATTATGTTGACTTATTTTGTTTTTCGAAAATCGGAATACTCACTCTTCTCGTTCTTTTCCAAGTTACGTTTTTGCTTTCTCCATCAGCATTGAAGCGCGAAATCGAAGTTTCACCCCTGGAAAAAGGGAGTCGATGTCCTTTACTTTCTGGAAAGTCAAAAAAGCACCTCTCCTTCCCCTGTGCCCCGGGGAAAGCTCTGGGGCACAGGGGAAGGCTCCATTCTTGGTCAAGCGGGAGACCCACGGAGCAACAGGGCTCGGTTTTCAAACATTTTCCTTTGTCCAAGCCGTCCGTGGCCGGTCCTCGGGGCCGCACAGCCCAGCTCCCTCCCGGTTTGGGATGGAAACACCTGCTTCGGTCCAAACTCCGAGTTTGGATGTACGGTTCTTTCCAAAACCAAACCAAATCCCGCCGGTGTGGGGGTTTAGCGCCCCAGCTAGCAGCCGTCAGGTATTGTAAATGTAGGCAAACCCAATGGGAAGAAATGACGATGTTTGACTCAATTCAGAAGGCTGAATTGTTTCTTTATTATAACTATGCTAAAATACATTAATATACTATATTAAAGGAGGATACTAAAGCTATATACTGCTTTCTCTGACTCTAACTCCCACAACTCGTGACCCTCTCTGAGAGCCCAGCCCCAGGTGGGTTGGATTGGCCATCAGGCTCAAACAATCCTCACCTGAATCCAATCAAGCAATCACCCCAGGTGAACAATTCTCCAAACATATTCCACATAGTTTCCTAAGGAGCAGAAACAGAAATTGTTTTCTCTTTCATTTCTCTCTGTGCACCTTTATGAAAAATCTTGAGAGGGAGAGAAATGTGCTTGCCACAGGCAGGTTCATTCAGATTTTTCTGAGCCCCTTGTCACCGTCGCTGTCCCGCAGGCGAACCCCCCTCGCATGGGGTACCAAGGGTTAAGGAGCATCCCACCCCAACACCGCCCACCCCTCTCTGCCTCCCTCGGGGCTCCGGGGAAGTCACCCACCCTCAACGTGAGATTCCTCTGCCTGGAGGGATCCCTGTTTTCTTCCCAAAGGGAAAAAAACTCCCAAAGGGGGGGAGGGCGGCTGCTTCGGGGCGAGGCTCACAGACTTTCCAGCAGGAGGGCAGAGATCGCTTCTCTGCCCCGAGGGAGCCCCTGGGGACCCCGCGAGTGGTGCCCCCCTCCAGGGAAAGGGCTGCCCGCACTCCCAGCCCGTGGAGCGGACCAGCGAGTCTTAATTACTTTGTCAAAGATGAAAAATAGCAATTGATTTCTTTTTCTCCCCTCGCTGGCCATCTTTCCTCTTCCCCTGCTCCTTCTTTGCAGATAAGCAAAGAGGGAAGAGGGAAGGCGGCGGAGCTGAACCCCCTGGGAGGGTCTGGGGCTGTATCCGACCCCCGGGCTCCAAAGGTGCTGCTGCCTCTCCCCCGTCCCCGTTCCCTCATCTCAGGCACTTTCCTGGCTTTATGCCGCATTCGTGCCGTGCCTCAGTGGAAAAAAAAAAAGCCAAGTCACGACAGGAGCAAGCGATGCCACCTCTCCACAAACACCTCAAACACGCCCACGGGCGCCCAGGATGTTTTAATCCTTGCGCTAATATCCCCCCTCGTCCCGGCTTCTTTATGACGGAGTTCAGCATTGCAGCTGTCCATCTTAAACCTTTCTGGTCCCTTTTGCTAAAAAGGATGGAGGCACCGCCGCAGGAGCCTGCAGACGCTTCCCCGCTGGTTTATTGCACCAGCCCAGCCCGCAGCCTTTGCCACCTCCGCTGTGACACCCCCTGAAGCCACAGCCTGTCCCGGGAAGAAATTCCAGCAATTCCCACAGCACATTCATCCAGCACCTCGCGGGAGGGGAGCTGTCCTCCTTCCCTCCTCTCCCCTGACTCTGTTGGTGTTGTTGTTGTGGCAGGGAAATTTGGCACACGCAGGGAAAAGCCCTTTGGCTGAAGTTCTCTGTAGGGACAGCCACTTACACTCTTTTCTCCCTTAAGCCTAAAGGCAAATTCAATAGCGAGGGTGAAGATGAATGTGAGGAGCCCGGGAAATGCCTTGAACATCCCCTTCAGACCGCGATTGAACAGCCTAAAGGCGATTAGAGCGGAGGTGTTAAACGACAGCTGTGAAATGCACTGATTCCAGCCGGACCTTGTGGATCTGCCCTGCAGTCAAATGTGATTTTTCACGGGATCCTGCCCCTTCCCTGGGGAGAGGACGCTGAACCCAGCCAAGTCCTCAGCCAGTGCCAAGGGCTTGCACTGCAGTTCATTATTCCAAGGAATGGGCAGGTCTCCACCGGTTTTCTGCACAGCTCTCCCCAGTGAATAAACCTGCCCCCACCCAGGGCTTGGGGATCTTACAAAGAAGTTACAATTTTGGCTAACGGGGAGAAGTTAAAGTGCGTGCAAAAAGGGTTATGCCTTTTCTCATAACCAAACATGGTCTTAAACCATTGGGATACAGCAATCCATAATGTTTGCAAAGCCAAGGACAATATTGCATTCACTCAGATGAGTTACACACACAGCAGCAAAAGTATGTGTCAATAAGCCAGACCTTGCCAAGGGACACTTCACCTTCAATTTCTTGTATTTCCCCTTTAATTCTATCTATATGCAAAAAAATTGTAGAGCTTTAATTCCAGATTTCCCATGCAAAGAGCATGGCTCCTTTCTTAAGGCAAAGAGTCACCTCACCAGGCTGCAATATTTTGCCTCTCTCAGTTAATTATATTCAAAAAATGAAGGGACTGTAAAAATCTTTCAAGTGATAATTACCTGTTATTTTCATCCTGTGAAATGCCTCAGGCTCATCCCGTTATTTATTAGCTCTCTTGTACACTTACCAATTGCATTAACTCACATAATTCACTGGATGGCCCGTAGATTTCCAGATAATTATCAAAGTCTGGTATCTTTACTGTAAAAGGAGCCAGTTCCCTGAGAGATTTAACTTCTTCTCTGGAGACCACTGTAAATAACAGAATTAAAAGAATGGAGGATCAGGTGGGGAGAAAGCAGAAGCATCTGGAGGAAATTTCTGCACCACTGGCCAGACATTTATGCTCCTAACAGCTATTTCCCCCAGACACACGT